CTCTTCGCCATCTTCCTCTCTTATACAGTTATTCAGATCTGTTCTATTCTGCTAATCACTAAGTTTAATCTTGATATTAGAGGACTGATTTACATCTTGCATCATTCCTTTTCTTCAGTTTCTTTGTCGTAATCTTATGCATGTGCTTCTTTTTATTGCCTGAATTTGACTCACGACTATAATTATTTTTGAATTTTTTTGAAGGTTCTAAGTAAAATCTGGTCCATAGCACTCAAGTATCATTTCCGTATGCCACCATACTATACACTAGTCCTGCGATCTCTAGCATCCTTAGAAGGTAAGATGATGCTGAATACTGTATTCCTTAGAGTTCTCATATTTCTTTCATGGTTTGTGCACTTTATTGGAATTTCATTTTTTACAAAGCCATCTGTATTTTTTCTGGCTTCAATAAATCCATCTGATTTAATCTGGTAAAATTGGAAATATAGAAAAGGCCATTACTCAATGTTGGCTGCAGCTATTTGGGGTCTTGGGAAGGGTGGGCTGGCCCCTTATAAAATTAGAAATTTGTGTACTATATATATGTATTTATCAATGATACCTGGACAAATGTATGTGGGTGCCATAGATGAATAAATGTTTTGCAATATGTACTGGTGTGATCTTTTGACCATAGATTATCAGTAAGTTCTGTATAGAATACTAAGCAAATAAAATGTCTATAACAGTAAGCAAAATTAAATACCAAATCTGCATTCCCTGTAAATTTGAAGTTCTATTGTAGACACCACAGGTTGTTATAGGTGGTTACATACTTGCATCCAGATCTACAGGGCAATCATAAAATACCCTGGTTGGACAATCACTGCCTGAAGCTCAACCAACACAACTTTTTCCTGTGGAAATTTGTCCTTCTATAGAGTTTAATGTTATGAGTCTCTATGAAGCTAGAAGTATCTCCATATTATTATATTAGATATTTAGTATGGTCTTTATGTGGGTCCCAGAACATCACAATCTTGAAGTAAAAGTGAAGATGGCCTCAAGTCTATAACTTTGCCTACAGCCATGGATTTTCATGTTAGAACATGCCAAACACCTTAATTTTGGTATCTCAGAATTCGGAAAGCTTAATAGATTGCTTACTTGAGGAGTGCATACTATGTGATTGGACATGATTTTAGAGCATTGTGATCAACTTGTGGACAACACATGACTTCGTATTATTTTTGGGTTGTTTATCTTTTATTGTTGCATCTAATAGGGACTGGTTTTGGTAGTCATTTTATTGTAGAATTTGGTAATAAAGTTGTGATGATAAAAAAATTAGTAAAATGTTCTACGTAGTCTTTGTGTGCTTTGAAATTTCCATACGAGGCCCATAAAATTGCGAGAAAAAAAAAATATTGACAAAGAATTTGTTTTCCTTTTCTTTCCCTTTTTGGTATGATTCTGACTCCAGCCATGATAAGTTAACTCTCAAGAACTTCCTTGATAATGAAACTCCACCAAGGCCTTTATTCGAGAAGAGGTGTGACTCAGATTCTTGTGCAAGAAGACAAGATAATTACAATTTATATTAATGCTTTTTTTTTAAAGACAATAGAGATCTTTGTGAAAATAAAATTGGTAGTGTTGGAGGTATATTAAGTAGCATTGTAAAGGTAGTGCCCAGAATGAAGAGGGGAGGGATCAGAATAGTTAAAGCAGGATAGGGTTTAAATGCCAAATTCCCTTTAGTTGAAGCTTCCTTAAAAGTTGAGCTGGGAGAATTGTGACTATCTTCTTTAATTTATGCACATAAAGGTAGTGCCCGGAGTGAAGAGGGGAGAAGTCAGAATAATTAAAGCAGGATGGAGTTTAAATGCCAACTTCCCTAGAGTTGAAGTTTCTTGAAAGGCTGTTTCCAAGATGCAACCTGGGTGACTGGGGTTCAAATCTTGGAAACAACCTCTTTGTATGTGCACGGGGTGAGGCTGCATACATCTCTCCCTCCCCAGACCGCATTGGCAAGAGCCTCCATGCACTGGGCTGCCCTTTTCTTTAATTAATGCACTTATAGGTTTCTTTAACAAAGAAGAGGATATTAAAGCAAGGAGAGAAGAGGCTCCCTAATTGTGTACTGTCATAACCATCAGACTTGGCTACCCTAGATGATGATATTTAGAACCCAAAATATTAATTATTTTCTACATAGCATGATGTGCATAGTTTAGAACATATCTTGTTCTCAAAACTTGATATTAGGTATATTCTGCTATGAAACTTTGGGATAAATAGTAGTATGGTGCCTATATTTAAGAACAAAGGTGTTATAAAAAGTTGTAATAACTATCAAGGGATTAAACTCATGAGCCACACTTTGAAACTTTGGGAGAGAATAATTGAACAAAGATTATAACTTGAAATAAGTGCATCAGAGAACTAATTTGGTTTTATGCCAGGGAGATCAACCATGGAAGATATATTTTTTCGAGATGATTGATAAAAAAGTTCAGAGAGAAGAAGAAAGATCTTCATATGGTGTTCATTGATCTAGAAAAGGCTTACGAGTTATGATAGAGTTCCTAGAGAGATAGAATGGTGGGTCTTGGAAAAGAAAGGGGTATATAGACCTAATTAAGGATATGTATGAGGGGGCAACAATCAATGTTAGAACACTAGTGGGAGAGACTTCAGATTATACAATTACAATGGGTCTTCACCAAGGTTCAGCACTTGGCCCTTATCTATTTGCACTGATCATAGATGAATTGATTAAACATATTTAGGAAGAAGTTCCATGGTGCATGTTGTTTGCTGATGACATTTTTTAATTGATGAAACTAATGAAGGATTAAATCAAAATTAAGCTTATGGACAAATGCCCTAGAAACAAGAGGTTTTAAAATACATAGGACTAAAATAGAGTATATGACATGTGAATTTAGTAATAATAGGAGTGTAAATCATGATACGCTTAAGGTTGGAAACCAAGAGATAACTATAACTCAATGTGATCATTTCCAGACCTTGGTTCAATAAGTCATAACAAGGGAGAGATTGAGGAGGATGTCACTCAGAAAATTAGAGCAGGTTGGGCAAAATTGAGGGGTGCATCTGGACTTTTGTGGATAGGAGAATATCACTTAGATTAAAAGGAAAATTCTATAAAACAGTTGTAAGGTCAGCTATGTTGTATGGAGCATAAGTGTTCTGGCAGTCAAGAAACAACATGTTCAGAAAATGAGTGTGACAGAAATGCGAATGATAAGATGGATGATTGGAAAACCTAGAAAGGAAGGATAGGATCAAGAATGAAGCCATCTGTAGAAACCTAGGAGTAGCTCCAGTAAGTGATAAAATGAGAGAGAGTAGGCTAAGATGGTTTGGTCATTTGCATAGAAGACCACCAACAGCTCCAGTTAGAAGAAGTGATTTGTTACAAGTGGAAGGGGCTAGAAGAGATAGGGGTAGACCACAAAGGAAATGGGTAGTAGTAAGAAATGATTTAAGCACTAATAATTTAACAGTGGATATGGTTTTAAATAAAATGGATTGGCGAAACAGGGTTCATGTTGCCAACCCCATATAGTTGGGATAAAGCATGGTGCATGGATGATGATGATGGTGATGATGATATATCCTGCTGGAAGCTCTTTCTTTAGTTTTTTTCCCAACTCCCTTGCATTGTTTTCTTGATATATCTTTGGTTTTGCTTTATTTCATTTGATTTCCCTCTCCCTCTCATATTTGGTTTTGCAATCATTAAACCCATCAGTTTATATTCATTTTCTTTATGGGACCTCTTCAGGATTGGCTGTAGCTGCAGATAAAGATTTTAAGACATTTGAAGCTGCATATCCTTATGTTGTCCAAAAGCTTCTCACTGATAATTCAGCTGAAATGAGGAGAATCTTACATTCGGTATTACAGACCATATACTGATTACTCTGTCTTTCTATTAAGTATCAGATGACATTTGTTACTGAGCCTTTGTTCAGGGATGATTCCTACTTCTGGTAATATTGATAAGGGTTACTCTATGATCTTAATATTTTAAAGGGGAGGAATTCGGGCGCATCCCATTTCTGTTCCACTATAACCAAGCTCGTCATGAACCTGATATACATGCAAGCAAATTACGTTCATATCAAATAATTGCTTATATCTTACCTCACCATGGTTATCTGGATTATTTGAAGTCTCCTTAATACCACTTTAAATGAACTTGGGATCCATATTTTGCTTAGAATCAGTACTAGAGGTTGCCATATTCTCCTTTTAAATAAATAAATTAATAAAACTCACTAATGGAATTATCACCACCAAAAAGCAATTAAGAGATCAAATCCAGATCACAACCCAATGAGGGGGTGATACTAGAGAGGTTAACACTAAAATAGAAAAAGAGAAGAGTTAAGTGCTTGCTCTCTCCATAAAATGAGACGCCACTTGATTCCATAGATTCAGAAAATCATAGGGAATCAAAAAATACCTGAGCAGTAACTTGATTGAATCCTAGACAACATCAACAAATTGAAAACTGCAATATCTGATTTTTCTTTCCTAATTTTTGGGGAGCAAACTCTAGGATTCCTCATAAGCTCCAAAAAATTATTTGAGTATCTCCAAGAATCTCTAAAGAATTTTATCATTCAAAAATAAGTGGTTAACCTTCTCAAACCTCTGCACAGTCAACTAATCCTAGACCAGAATGGACTTCAAATTGAGAAAAGAAAAAAATCACAGGAAGTTACATGCTCCGATACCAACTTTCTGTTTTTAGATTGATTTGATTAGGTTAGAATAGAATAGAATAGAATAGAAGAAAATAAGAGAAAAGAGAATAGAACACCTGGTTTGGGAGAAGAGAAATAGACTGATGTGCAGCCCTCTTTCACCATCTATACGCAATACATATTTCAATGCATTCTTTGGACAAAAGAAATGAAATTTGTGGATTATCTATAAAATACCTTGGTCAGATGTCATTTTTTTTAAATTAGTTTCTGATTAATTTCTTAATAATGAGACTTGACCCTGAATGCATACCATATTTTCATGTTTTCATTTTCATCCATCTACAGGAGTGATATTATAATTGCTTCATTTGTTAATATTGAATTTGTTGTAAATGCTATCAAGTCAATTGATTCCATTATTTTTCTATCTGTTTAATTTCTTTGCACTTGTTCAGGTAGTTTTCAACAAAAGGAAGGAATTCCAATGGAAAAAGCTAGTTCTTTTCTTAAGAGTAGGCACAAATAGGTAAATTATTTTCTATAGTCAGGTAGTTTTCAACTACATGTCTTTCCATCTTTTTAATACTACTTGTTGCACTTGAATGTCTCAAGTAACAAGGACTAAAAAGTTACTATGTTATACGAAAAGCTAATCTGTTAAGGCTAGTTTATTTTTATGGTCAGTTTTATTTGAAAATAAACCTAAAGAAAAACCACTATACTTTCTTGAATATAATACAACTATAAATAAAAATACTACCCTTAGTTTTCCTATAAACATCACTTTTGTACTTTTACTGGTTAAAGAAAAGGAAAACAAGTGTAGCTTTTCTTTTTTTTATTGTACTACTCTGGCTTAAACAAGAACTCTATCTCTGTAGCTTCAAGTTACCAGTGTGGTCTCATGATTGTGTATTTTCCCGATTATTGCTCCTGCTACATTTATAGTATATTATGACTTTTATTTGTTCAGAATCACAAGTTTCTTTTGTGGAGGCAAACGAGTGGTATGTTGGGTGGGGGGCATATAAGGAACTCCTCTGGTTCACTTGCCCAAAACAAAAGAATATGGAAGCCAAGATATCAGGCATAATTTTCTTTTGGAAATAAGTGCTAATTGGTTGCTTCATATGGACTTTTGAATGTGGTGTCTGGTTTGAGTTTTTCTTACAGGTAGACTTTCACAATATTCTTTTCTAAAGTTCTATTTTACTATGTGCAATTCAGGAGAGGTTTGCACAGGATGACAACATCAAACCCTACTAATTCGCTTGCATGCACCTCAAATGGACACAGTGGTGTATTTGATGTTGCAAACTTCGTTTTCAGGCTTTTACCATCTAAAGATGGTGTTGTGCTGAGAAGACTTCTGATGACTGCGGTGTGTCTCTTCATCTGTTTCCCTCCTAAGAAATTTAGCACTTATTATATTTGTAGGGGAATGTTACCAAAGCTTGAGCAGCATGGTCCAATTATCAGGGTATACATGTGGAGAAAAGGACAAAACACCAGTCCCTTTTATTGACAAAATTGTCCCTGGTGTATTGCCATTTTCACATACGCATAGACAAAACAACCCTTGGACTGCTGTTACTCAAGTTTCCTTAGTGTTCTCCATGTTTTGTTTTAGTACTCATTTTTTTAGGGTCTAGAAAGTTGTATAGTATAAGATGGATCATGAAATTTCGGAGTACAGATCTGGTCTCAACACAGGGTCCCAACAACCGGTCCCAAGTCCCAATAGCTATTGCAGCCATGCATTGGGAACATCTAAGGACAAGAGAGGTGCTCCCAATGCATGGCTGCACTGGCTGTTGGAACCCCGTCTTGGGACCAAATCCAGGCTTGAAATTCCATGTCCACCATCCAAAAAAAAGGGAAAAGAAATGAAAAGAAAAATAAACACTTGTCGAACAGTCCAATATATTTCTGTTAGACAGGACCATTAGATTTGGTGTCTTGAGTCTGGATTTCTTGAAACATGCCAACTATTTGCATTATCTGGACCATTCCCTGTGTGCCATGTAGCAAGGGTGGGAAATCATAAAATTTGTTTTTGTTGCTTCCCATCCTGAAAAGCAACATTATTGGGTGCTTAAAACTGTGTGCCTGTTTTTTCAATTAACAGGATGGTACTTCATTAGTCCGAGCTATGGTTTCCAAGGAGGCAGTTTTCTTCCGCCAACAAGTCAGTAGGGCTCTTGCAGATGTGCTTTATCAATGGATGGTAAAAGCTCTCGGACAGGATGACACCAGAAGCCAATATGCTTCATATATTAGATCCACATGTGTGCCCCAGAGAGAAGTGCTAACATCTTCTGGACCATCCACTTTCGTCTACGACTATCAGTCTTTCCTCAAGGATCGTCGGTTTAAAGTGATCTTTTACAAGATACTAGCCTCTGCAAGAAAAGATACTTTGTTAATGGTCAGGCTCTGCTGGGCTTCTTTTGTGATTCTCGTTACAGCTTCAGCCTCAGCTTGTCGTCGGGTTTTACTTTCCTGGTCGGAGACTTGCAGGAAATCTGTGTTATTGGCTCCCAGGCGGTTGGCCATCAGCAGTTAGTGTGTGGGTGGGTGGTTGGCGACTTGGCGCCTCTCAAAATGCCGACTCCATGTGTAAATTGTAAAATGTTTCATAGAATCTTCAGCAACTCTGACTCACCTTTTTGTATAGTAAGTTTTGTAGTGAAGCCTAAAGCGGCTATCGATGAAGGTCGAGTTTGGTAGATGTTCCCATGTTCCACAGTAAAATGCTAGACAACGTGTGTAAGTTGTAAAATGTTCCAGAGTCTCCTACTTCTACGAGTAGAGCTTGGACGAAAGGATGTCGAGTGGATATCCTTGAATTGGTAGATGTTCCATTTATCTGTACATGCATTGAATAGTGAGAAATGATATGGGGATTGAGTCCGTCTGGAAAAATAGACTTTGTCGTTTCTCTGAGAACACTAGCCGTTGCCATAATATGCCAAACGTATGAAAAGTGGCATCTGATTATTGAAGCGGATTCGCAGGTGATAGTGGGATGGGGTTGGCTGAAGGATCCGGAATTAACAAGGAATATGACAACAGAGTTCAATGGAATGGGTTGGCAGATCATTAAACTTAGCTGATTCACTTGCAAAATAAGGGGTTTTCTGGGATTTTCATTTTGGGCTTCCGTGTAATTTCCTATTGTAATTATAATTCTTTAATTAGTTTTAAAGGAAATGTTGCATCTTGTGCCTTTGTGCCTTTTCATGGGTTGCATATAATAAAATCTTACTCATTTATCAAAAAGAAAAAAGTATGAGAAGTGACTTTTAACTATTATTGCAAAAGGTTTGATTGGGATACAATCCACTCCTCTCAGGATCTGGATGTTACGGCTGCAAATGATCGACATACAAGTAGATCCAAATTTCATTCACTAATATTAGGATTTGAATTGAACCTTGCCCATCGGATTTGTATCAGATTCCAATCACATTTCATTGCAATTTTTTTGTAAAGTCTCCAAAGGCTAATCCATTTGACTTGGTTATATAAGGAATCAGAAACAAATTTCATTCACTAATATTAGGATTTGAATTGAACCTTGCCCATCGGATTTGTATCAGATCCCAATCACATTTCATTGCAATTTTTTTTGTAAAGTCTCCAAAGGCTAATCCATTTTACTCAGTCATACAAGGAATCAGAAAATCAGATGCTACAGTACAGATCAAGATATATAAAAATGACTTTGATATTATATATTTTGAACAAAATGAATTTGAAAATAATTGTGGCAGTGGTATATATAATATACTGTGGAGCAAGGCTTAAAGTATCGATACAAGGCATATTGGTACTTTTTTAAGTTTTATTTATTTATTTTTTCACAACCGGTTCAAAGGGGTCGGTTTAAGGCCCGGCTACCTTCTAAACCAATGTCTGACCCGATACAACCCCTGGAGGGATGTATTGGTAAGCCATTGGCACGATTCGTATCAGGCGATATGGGCTGATATGTATCGATACTTTGAACCTTGCTGTGGAGTGGACCCATCGATTTCATCACCCACTGGGTGTGCGTGTGAAGACCACTTTTGTATATGCCACCTGTTCATGAGTTGATTTTTTTCAAGAGTTTTTCATGTATTTTTTTAGCTTGACTTGGGAAAAGTTTGATTTAGCTTGTGGTCTAAATTGAGTTTTGAGCTTAGTTCGAGCCAGTAAAGTTAAGTTTATGAGGCTCGCAAGTTTAATTGAGCTTTTATTCCTTAATTTTTATATGTAAAATAAAAAATATTTTTTTATTCTTATAGAATGTTTGGCTCACGTTTGAGCTTGAGTTGAGCTGAATTCAAATTTACGAGCTTTTAGGTTAAGTTGAATTCAAACTTAAACCTCTAATTTGAATGAATTGGGATCTGCTCCTTATAGAGAATCCTCAAACTGATCTCACAGTCCCATCCCACCATATATTAGCATCTCTCGTGAATAATGACATACAAGTACAGGAGATGCTTTCCATGTAGATCTGGAACATATTGTGAGATTGGTGTCAGGAGCGATTTGTGAGGAGCATATTCGAACTCAATTGAAATCGAGCTCGAGCATTTTTTTTGGCAAGCCAAACCTGAATAGATAGATATTGTGGCTCGGCTCAAATCCACACCTAAATTTCGCTTCTCAAGTGTGAGCCCAATGGGATATGGGACCGATGTTAAATCCATCCTGTTAGACCGTTAGAGCTAGTGAACCCAAACCAAAAACTATTCTCAATTTCTCACCCATTTCCCTTACGGAAGAGAGTATTGCCATTTGCTAAACGCCAAAGCTCAGGGTCTGCAATTCATGATAAAACCAAGGCAAGCTTCGAAGACAAATTCACTATCTCTGTCTTTATGAGTGAACTAGACTTAGGCCCTGTTTGATTTCACTTAGAAGCACTTGTTTTAATAAGTGCTTATTTTAAGTGTTGGGACCACACATTAAGTGGTAAAGAAGTACTTATGTGTGTTTGGTAAAAAAGTCGTCAAGAAGTAATTTTTTAAAAAAGTACTTATAAAAAAAAGTAACCTTAGGTTTTTTTTTTCAACACTTCTTGGAGAAGTGCTTTTTCAAATCGAATATAACGATCCAATCCCTAAATATTTTTTTAATACCAGTTTTACCCCCAAATGAGGGTTTTCTTCCCTTTCCTCCTATTTGAACACAATAGACGCTGGGGTTAGTGAACTCAGTTGCAGGTCCACTGGCGACGATCCACGATGAAAAAAAACGGGCGGCAAACCTATTGTTTTGCCGTTTTGACTCTTTTTGTGCATATTTTTTTTATTTAAAACACTTTGAAGGTTTTTTTTAACGCATGAAACCTCTCTATTCTCCATGTTCGCAGATTTGTGATTAGGTAAGTTTAATGGTGACACCCCACAGTCCAGCTGCCAGTGAACTAATGTTAGTTCGCCCAAACTCCTCCCCTCCATGTTTGATGTTATTTTTTGTTTTTTTGGGTGAATATTTGTCTAATTCAATTTTTTCAGATTGTTTAAGTGAGAATTCCGAAATATTTATGTTTTTTTTTTTGCATTGTCTATGTGATGGTTCCTATGCATAAGTAGGATTTTTTGCATTGTCTATGTGATGGTTCCTATGCATAAGTAGATTTTGTTTTGCATTTTTTTTGTTGAAAATCATGCAAAAAATATGCTGAAATATGTGGGTTACAGTTTTTCTTAATTTTTTTTGTATGAATAATTAGTTAAATGTTTATATTTTCTTGATTTGTGATTTCATTTTTCTTTATTTTTATATGAATAGTTGTGATGTTTTTTATATATTGTTATTATTATATAATAATAATATTATTATTGGTATTATTATATATTATATATTATTATTATTATTATCATCATCATCATCATCATCATCATCATCATCATCCACATGACACTCCATATGTGGGTCCATGTGGGCTCTCATGTGCATATTTTTCTGACTCTTTTTGTGCATATTTTTTTTATTTGAAACACTTTGAAGTTTTTTTTTTAACCTAAAACCTCCCTATTCTCCCTGTTCACAAATTTGTGATTAGGCGAGTTTAACGGTGACACCCCACCATCCAGCTGTTGGCGAACAAATGTTAGTTCGCCCAAATTCCTCCCCTCCATGTTTGATGTTATTTTTTGGTTTTTTGGGTGAATATTTGTCTAATTCGATTTTTTTTTCAGATTTTTCAAGTGAGAAATCCAAAATATTTATGCTTTTTTTTGCATTGTCTATGTGATGATTCCTATGCATAAGTAGGATTTTTTTTTTTGTTGAAAATCATGCAAAAAGTATGCTGAAATATGTGGATTACAGTTTTTCTTAACTTTTTTGTATGAATAATTAGTTAAATGTTTATATTTTTCTTGATTTGCGATTGCATTTTTCTTTATTTTATCTATGAATAGTTGTGCTTTTTTTATATTTTATTTATTATTATTATTATCCATGTGACACTCTACATGTAGGGCCATGTATATAATTATGCGAAAAGTATTGTTTATATGTATGAGTGAAATGAGGATTAAAAGTGTTACTTATGCCAATTTTGTGTTTAACACAAAAATAATTGTGATTTGGCAAGTGTATCACCAAACAGATTATTAAAATAATCACTTAATAGACTCTTCTCAATGTTATTTATTAAGATATTTCATTCTCTGCCATTTGTGTTCTTCCCTCGTTTCATTTCATTTTCAATAAATTCTTTTTGGCAGACGATGGAGTTGGAAAAGATGAGCAATACATTTCGACAGGAGCAACAGTAGTTCGTCATGTTTCTTTTGGTGAACAATCGTTTTGATCACCGTACTGAAACAACTATGCTCTCCTTTAGATCTTCTGTCCATCTGAAACTTTACGGGCTCGATCTCTGCTTCGGAAGCGCCTATGACGAGACAAATTTCCTTTATCTTTTCCGGTTGCAGACAGAAAACAAGGGTGTAAGAAACCTACAACGAAGTTAATACTTTTATCACTCTAAACATATCCTCGTCGCCGGGATACTGGGTAGCCCATCTCCCGTCCCTTTACGTCCTTAACCTCCAAACCCTGGTGGGATTTGATGCCAGGTCTCTGTTCCAACGAGTCGGAGATCATACCAGTTAAACCACCGTCAGACGTCAGTTGGGATGGATAGGTGGCGCATGTGAGGAGGATTGTGGCCTGTGGGGCACGAACGTGTGGGTAGAACTGTAGAAGCATATTCGAAACCGTACGATAGACAAAGTACAAAGAAAACTGTACTATGATAATCATCGATGTTCAATAGTCGCCCAGGAGCCCAAGATTCCAAATAACATCATATTAATCGGCCTGAATCTCTCAGAATCTGATCCAACGGCTGACAGCTCGAGAACGCGTATCTCCCGATTTGTGAATTGTGACTCACCGCCATCGAGGGAGTACGGGAGTCATACAAAACGTAAGGTGTATCGTAATTTCCTTCTCCTCGTTTTGCAGTTGCAGCCTTGCAGGGCAAGGAGTGAGCTACTGTTCCGATAACATGGCCGTCGGTGTCCTTGCTTTGCAGGGATCTTTTAACGAACACATAGCAGGTCCCCCCCCCCCTCTCTCGCTTTCTTGTAGAGTTTACACGTCGACGACTTGATGCAAGGTCATGTATTTAACTCCGTCAGCGATGGTTTTGTTGTGCAGTTCTCAGAAGGATCGGAGTGAAAGGGATAGAGATAAGAAAGCCCGAGCAGCTCCAGAATGTACATGCTCTTATAATTCCAGGAGGGGAGAGCACTACCATGGCCAAGCTCGCTGAATACCATAACCTGGTTGGTTTTCGTTCCTATTACTTATTACTTTTACTTTCAGAGCATTTGTTTTTGGTTCTCGATATGCATCGATTTCTATTGGAAATATACTGGTGAGCTACATGCATAGATGTAGAACTCAGGGGGAATATTTTGGCTTATTTGTTCTTCTCTTTCTCGACGTATAATTTCGGTGCTCCCATAATCGATCCAAATCTGTAATTCAGTGAGGAAAATAATATGTTGTACTAAATAAGCAACCCTATGGGAAAGATTATCGCTGTTTGGTAGAACTCTGCAAGAAACAATAAACATTCGACCGTTTCCTCTGTTAATTGCAGTTTCCTGCTTTGAGAGAATTCGTCAAAATGGGGAAACCTGTGTGGGGGACCTGTGCGGGTCTCATCTTCTTGGCAAACAAGGCCGTCGGTGCGTGCTTTTTTTGTTCTTTTTTTTTTAACAGAAGGAAAGAGAGGAAGGGAAATTTTACCCAAGTTGTTTGAAGTTGTGACCTGAACTTCGCTTTCCAGGACAGAAAGAAGGAGGACAGGAACTCATCGGAGGGTTAGATTGTACTGTCCATCGGAATTTTTTTGGCAGCCAGGTAAGTTTACAAAAGCTCTGCATTTCTATATCTTTCTTTATATAAAAACTCAGGATTGGATTGATGTAGGAAGAGAGGGAAACAACTTGTGTAAAAAAAGAGTTTTTTCATGTATTTCTTGCGACAGGAAGCAAGAATATCATTTCCTTATTGCCATTTATTCTCATCTTTTGTAAGTAAAACCAGAGGAATCAATCTTAATGGAAATCCAACCCATTGGTGCCCCCAGTCTTTACTTTCTGCTGATTAACTGTGGACTATTTCAACTCTGGTCTAATATAAAGAGGTTGTTTTCTGCAGATTCAGAGCTTTGAGGCAGAGCTGTCAGTACCGGAGCTTGCAGCCAAAGAAGGTGGTCCTCAAAGTTCTCGTGGAGTTTTTATTCGTGCTCCAGCAATCCTTGAAGCAGGCCCAGAAGTTGAAGTCTTAGCTGATTATCCCATTCCCTCGAAAAAATTGACAGATTCAAAATCTGTAACTGGAAACCAGGAGGTTTGTCCTTTATGTTACTTTAACTTTTACTTCAGTACATTGACGTTTGGAAGCTGTAATTGTACAAGAAAGAAGATGGTTCTACCATTAATATATAAGTTTTACTGCAAATGTACAAAAATAAGGTACCATCTGAAACCAGATTTGTTGGGATGGACTTAAACCTTTTCCTATATTGTCCAATTATTGATGATATACATCAGCCATTAGACTCCCTGTTTCTACTCATTGTTCTTGATATATGGTGACATTTATACATCCATTGACACTAACATCAACGCACAAAAACATGTGGATATAGTCACTTTTTTGTTTGTGTGCATTTTTTTTTCATCTTTGAACTTACATGTTTTAGTTAATTTTCCATGTTATGCAAACTAGGAATGCAGTTCATTTCACCCCCAGATTCTAGGGTACTAGGACTGAACTAAATTGGTTTCAGCAATTGAGTATTAGTGGATGGGCACCAGTAAGTTGCAAAACAAATAAACAAATTTCAAGCAATCAAGCAAATTATATCTATCACAATAAATTGCATCCACTGTTCTCAACCAATAAAGAAGGCACTCAACCACAAAGTATATGGTTTGAGAAGATCTATAATGATATCTTATAGAGAGACAACCACACTTTCTTCTCTCTATTCTTTGGTAACTAATGATGGTCCATCTAATACAATTAAATGGATGCAGACTGGTCATCCCCTCATGTAAACACTTTCTGTGCATATGATACACTTAAGTTACCTTTTCAGTGGATAGAAGGGAGATATACTTTGTAAGCCTTGCATATAACCAAAACTTTAGCTTATAATTGCACTATATTATATCAATACCAGTTTGCAGTTTTAATTATTAATATTTCATTCATGGTTGTTCTTGTCTGCACCTTCTGGCTTTGGTTTTGTGGCCTGAGTCAGACCTATGAAGGAAATTAAAGAACCTGGCACCATAAATTGCTCAGAAAGGAAAACTTTCCATTTTTGAAGGTCTAAACATTCTACATCTGTGTGTATATATCAATTGGATTCTTTATGCATACAATAACTTATATTTACTGGTGGAGGGTAAATAATGGGTTGTCACCTCTTGTTTAGATGAATGGTAATTCTGAAACCTTTGTTAATTTATACTGTAAAAGTGTGAAACTATATACCATTATGGAATTCTTACTAAACACATTTTATTTATCAAAAAAAAAATACCATTATAGAATAATGCACTTTCAAAGAATGATTAAAACAGTGCATATAAATTTGTGGATATATATTGGAATAATGTAATAGTATGTAAATATTACTAAAAGATTCTATGGACAAGCAAAGAGCCAAGCTCCAATCAATATAGTGAATATACTAATAGTAATCTTATTCTAAACCTTATATGTAGAATTTGAAAAGATTATTGAATTAATGATAGGATCAAATACATACAGAGTTATGGACATGATTGTCAAGATACCAAGTTTTTTTTTCCTGCTCAACAAAGATTACTGAATTAATGATATAAGATCAAATGCATACAGAGTTATGGGCATGATTATCAAGATAATAGGTTTTTTTTTCTGCTCAAAAGATGGTAATGGTTGATGAATAAGCCCATGTTTGGGAGCGCTTATTGTTAAAATAAGTGCTAATTCAAGTTGATAAAAAAGTGCTTATTCAAATAAGCACTTACTAGTGTTTGGTGAAAAAGTGCTTCTTCCAAACGGGGGTAATATATGTATTTTAAAAATTATGTGGCAGGCTAAGATGAATCAGAAAGCAAAAAGTGCTTAAAAATAAGCACCTTCTTGGGTGCTTATTTCCATGAATAAGCACTTATTGGGGCTTATTTATCAAACACCAATAAGGTGTGGTCCTGGCCTAAAAAAAAGTGCTTAAAAAAGCACTCCCATACATGGGCTAAGAAACTGATCCATATTCTCCCTACCACGGAGCAAGCTGTTTTATAGGTGATCTTTGAAAAGTAAAATGGGACTTCTTTTTTTTCCTGGGGACGTAAATGGGATATCTATGAGTTTGTTTCTGTACGAGTCAATTTAGCTTTCATATATTTCTGGGAATCAAGTTTAATGGAAGTCATAACTGATGGTAATCCCAGACCAAGGAGGAGCAAATTTTCATATTGGTGGCCCTAACCATTGCAGAATTATATTCATTGGCATTAACTTGAAACATTATGGATTTTAACTATGTTGTCATCTGTTAGAAGCTATGTCTAATTTGTACATGTACAGCTTCTGCTTGCACCTTTGTGGTCTTTGACTAACACTTGTGATATGGGACCTATTTGTAATACTTATGGGGCATGCGGCTCATTTGGAGATTTCCATGTTTAGGTGAAAATTGGGTCCAAAGATAAAGTAATTGTGGCTGTAAGGCAAGGGAACTTGCTCGCAACTGCTTTCCACCCTGAATTGACTGCGGACACACGATGGTATATATTGCATGGTTAAGTAATTAGCTTTAAGTGCATCTCTTACATATCTCACTTGTGCTCCTAAAATTTTGGTTTTCCAGGCATAGTTATTTCTTGAAGATGATGGCAGAATGTGGTGATCAGGGTAACTTCTCTACCGGAGGAGATGATATCAATGACAACCAACAGCAGCTGAGGAATGATCTGCCCATATTTCAGTAGTAGCAAAGTGGCACTGATGGTTGTTTTCCCTGCATTTTACTTTGATCTCTCTTCAAAATGCATGTTATCTGTTAAGGCATTATTGCATATAGAACAGAAATGTTTTTCTTTTGGTTGGTAGATTTGTTCCAGAACAGCAGGGTTAACCTAATTCTGCAGGTTGTTGTTGTATATATTAATGAAGCAAAATCTCATGATATTTTGCTTCCACCAGGAAATGTTTTTGGCTGTCTACATTCGACAGCCTATGCTGTCCACAAAGCTCTCCCTGTTGTATGGCCCGTTGGTCCATGGTAACTCCACACCAACTACATGCAGGCATCATGCAATAATAGCATTCATCCTTGGAGGCATGGTTATATGGACCGATGATGTATCATGTGGAGAGATCCTGTCCACTTCACAGGCTGTCGAACGTGTGGAGATTGAATGAGGGAGAAGTATGAGAAATGAAAGTGAAAAATACCCTTAAGAATGTGACTGGCTGCCAAGAAAACCCACTGAAAAATGAACCCAGAGAGGGCTGTCAAGAAGTCAGATTGAATCTGACTAATCATATTCTGATGTTCATATCATGGTTAACAAAATCCACTGAAAAATGACTTTCATGAGGCTTGATCTAACAACACTTAACTACTTGAGAGAGAATAAGAAAAAGAATACATTTTATATAATTAAAAATATTATCTATGTATAAACGGGGTTATATATTTTGTATATTTAAAATTTAATTGGACTTATTTCTTTTTCTTTTCACTTTCCTTCTTTAGATTTCAAGAGAAAGAGCTATTTATTGGAAAGAAAATCTAAAAGAAAAAAAATATTTTTCCGGGTTTACCTACTTTTTTCTGTTGTTTTTTATTTTGTTAGAACTTATTATCACTCTTTCATGCCAACCAAACGTCTTTCAGTCCTCGTTAGAGAAAAATCATTAATCAACCATTTTCTTTGAGGATGTCTGCCACTCAAAAGAGCCTTAGCGACTAAGCTTTCCAAATTCAATAAGCGTATTATGCGCTTGGTTGAGAGGACGTTGCCATATTTTCTTTTTGCGAGATAAAAGGCTCACCTAGAAAGCCTACAATCATTTTTTGGTGAAAATTGAAAAACCCAAAGCACCCAAAGATTATTAGGAAAAGTTCCGATAGGCCCAATGCAGATATCTGAATGCAGATCCATAAACATTTCAAATGTCAAAAACCCCCCATTTTATACATCAGAGCCTGCTTGTGAATTGGCATCAATTCCGAGCTGGCACCTACCCCATCTATACTTTGGGCCTAAAAATTCTGACCCTAGGCTAAATCGTCACTCTTCCAAGATTATTTTCATTTTTCAGCCACTTAAATGTCCTTGGTCTCTATAACTTTGAGCGTCCATCTGGGAGGGTTTTCTAGGGTTTCTGGCTTTACAAGGTGGGCTTCACACAGAAAGCTGAGAATCTATGTTTGATGAAAATCTGAAAAGCTTAAATATACTTCAATTCAATTAACAAATCAACTCTATGCTGAAACTAGTTCTATTAGCTTTTTTAAAATGATTCAGCGGATGCTCCTCAATCAAAACTGAAGCCCTTCCAAACATGTTCTGAATAGCCATAGAAACCGTTGCACTGCATTTCAGACCGAGGGATGCAAGAACTGCAGGGCTTGAGGCCTAACCCAACCCTAGTCCAGGTCGAACACGCATATAATGTCTTTACAACAGTAGTTAATAATATATAAAGCTCAGTTTGGAAAGAGCACAATACATATGCATACTAACATACAAAATAATACAAAATATAAGATTTTGCACTTTACATATTTGTATTTTTTATTGCTCCATTTAATAAGAATATAAATGCAAATATATAAAATGCAAAACTTTGTATTTTATACTAATTTGTATTTATACTATACATATTTGCATTTATACTCTTTCCAAACTAAGCCTAAAGAATTTCTGTTTTTTTCTTTGTAATTCTTATATATGGCAGATGTTTAAAAGAGTAAATTTCATAGACAACACATAACATAATTGTGGTTAAAAACACTTGGTTTATAAACATATAAATAATTTACTATTTTGTTATCATTTTTATTAGGAAAAAAAACTATAATGTTGGAAAAATATGATACCAAAAGAGCTTTGATCAATTAACACCCCCCCAGTGAATTATGATGAATACCCACCTAATTGGTTACCACTTTTTGTAATGCTGATTGATTGGTTACAAGTTTTTTTTTTTTCCAATATCATGTTTTTCCGACATCATAATAAAACCATTTTTTATTAAGTTGTATTATCAAAAAATGAATATTTAAGTTATTATTAGTATATATAACTATAGATGTTAAGTATAATTGGGTCTAATTAGATCAAACCCAATTAGTAATTAGAGCAGACCCAATTATCCCGAGTAACAATTAGGATGGTAGGGCTGCAAATAAGTCAGATCAAATCTGATTCGAATCCAGTTTTTTTATTCGATAAGAGTCGGATTTGGATATCTCCCTTGATCCTAACAAAAACGATTTGGACCGGGGAAGTCGACCTGTTTAGTTAATTGATCAAACTCGGATATATGCCCGACCTGATCCATTAGTTATGAAATATTATATATTATATAATTTACATATTATATGTATGTTTTATATATCATTTATATAATTATATATTATGTATTATATATTATAATATATTATTTATATTATATTGTAAGTTTTTTATTACATTTCTAATAGAATTGGATATCTGATAAGATGTTTGAATTTGAATTCAAATCATACACTTGAAAATCCAGCAAATTTTTATGGGATTCACATTGGTTGGATACTTGGATATATCCTTTGCCAAATCTGATCTGATCCATTTGCAGACCCATGGGATGGTTTTGGGTCCATCTAACATCTTGGGGATGTGAGTGTGTGCATTGGGAACATCTCCCGTGTTTGTCATTGGGAGATGTCCATGCTCCCAATTCATAAGAGGGATGCACTGTGGAGTTCACATTGGCACCACATAGAGTATGCATGCCGAGATATGCATGTAGGCCACTAATGTAGTCTCCAGCAAGGTTTAAAAAATCGAACTGGATATGGAACCATTTTGACTATCAGTTATTAGGTCAAATGGTCCAAGTGAACGAATCATTCTGTTTAATAAATAAAAAGGCCAAAAACTATTGTTCAGGTTGACGGTTCGACCACCTAGATTAATGGATTTATGACCAAATCAATGGGTTTTTTGGCCTAGAAACACTGAAACAGTTTTAAGGTGAAAATGGAACCGATTGGCTGACTGGTTTTTAGGTTAACCGGTCCGACCGTCTGGTTTGATCCGGTTTTCAAAATCATGATCTCCGCTACGTGGAGAGCCCATCCTGTGTCGGAGACTGATACACCTGTACTGGACCAGACCCGACCCGTTGAAAACTTCCCAAAGAACCCGTTTCTGATCCATCAAAGGCGATTTCTCAATTCTCATTTCTATAGTCTGACTCACGAGTCACACGACTTGCGACTAAAAACGTGGTCCAGTCTCGAATTATCGAGCAAAACAATGGGCAGTAAGTGGCCACGGTTCAAAATCTCATGACCAATCTCTTGGTTCCTGCCTTCCTGGTGGGTCCAATTCGATGCTTAGTCTAGATCTTCGGGGATGGCAGGATCCTCCATATTCTTAGATTTGTGACGCCTGATTCATTTAATCATCTATAATACAATGTGCTCCGTGTCTAAGACCCGAGGCCTTTCCTAATATGATAGCTCGCGCCAGACTCGATTACGCATGTGGCTCTTAAAACCGTACGGCCTCCGGTTTTGATATCATCTGGGGAAATTACGATGAAATCCACCTTCTCGTCTTAGCGGTTAAGACTTTAGCCATAGGACTCAGCACAGCTTTGGTACTTCGTCTGACTATTGCACAGCCACAAAGAAGATCTGAGCAAGGCGGCGAAATCTGGTAAGCAACAAGGGAAGTCAGATCACCGGCTGCAACGATCGGGAATCTCCGGCCATGAGTTCTCAGGCGGTAGGAGTAAGTGCGACGCTTTCTCTTGAAGTCAGATCACCCTCTCCATGCATGTCTTATACGCTTCAATTACTTACATTTTTGAAACCCGACCAGATTAACTAATATGTTTCTAGCTAGGGTTTAATGGAGACCAGAACCTTTGAATTCACCCTCCATTTTCTCTTGAATTTATTTCCTCCGTCGTGCCGCTGTTATTACTTTGTTTCTTTCTGAGGCATCAATACGAGATGATTGGCATTATCACCATTGGATCTCTCGCCCACTGGTCTCCATTTTCTATTCTAGGCCGAATACGTATCTCTTTTATCTTTCTATGTGTGCATTTACATTTCATGTAGATTTCCTTCAGAAATCAACATTCACGAAGAAATGCAGATGCACCGATCTCATAGTTAAAAATCTTTTTTCTTGCCATTCTTGTATTTATATTTTGTCCCTTCAAACTCAGTCCAGAAGTCCACACACTTGAAGGATATATGTCGCCAATAGTCCTGCTAAAGAATTTAAGTTCTGGATCTAAGGAACCTATTGTGTTAAATCTTGTACTAGCGTTACCCTACTTTGAGATAGCTGGGTTTAAGAGGTTGCGTCAAAGGAAACAAATGGAAGAATACTTCACCCCTTAAGCCCTTATCAAGTAGGCCCAATATTCGATGATCCATTTGGTTATGGATCCCATATAATCATATTACATAAAAATAAAACATCTGTTTATATAATATTAGTGAAAGAAGCTTTTAATCTTTTCGAGGAGTTTGGCTTCCTTGATCAACTTTGAGGGCGATCAACCTTTGAAGTCGAAGCTCAAGGAAAAGTGAAAACACAAAACTTTTGGCTTCTTTTGGCATAAAATGTCCAGTGGTTCTACTTGAATGTATGATAGAGTAAACAACTCCAATCCAAAAATGAAGAATATGGAATACTAGAAAAACTAGGTTTAAATAATTCTCCCACCTTGGGTTGGAAGTACTCTGGAAACTTAAGAAATTTCTCCTTGGATCTCACCTTCTTGCAAGTCTGTATAGGAACTAATCCAAAATGACGTTTTTTTTTTCTTTTTTCTTTGTTTTTTCCTTGAACCTTTGAGAGTGCCCTGTTTGAGCATCAGACTCAAGGATCTAAAATTGAGTTAATAATCTTCAGTAATTTTTATTTATTTATTTTTATATTTGCTTCTTTTTTATTGGTACCAATGAATGCAGTTTCCCATAGATGGATACCAATTGTTTTTTTGCCCCAAGCGCCAACTCATAGGATAATCCCATTCAAATTAGGAAAAAAAGACCTACCTGGGCTGCTTTTATGTTGGTGGAATCCTTCCTTCAGTACCTTGTACTGCTCTTTGACCCATTTGAAATTATGTCAAAGATATTCCCCCGAAAAAGGTGCTACCCTTGTATGCTACTATGTGTATTTCCTTGGTGTGGTGCACTTACGCTGCAACTTGCTTTTTCATCTTTATTTCTGCAAGAGTCCTTGCATTTATAAGAATAACTCAGATTGTTATATAGTTTTTGCTGTCAGGGCTCCAGCTTTTTCTCCGGATTTACTCGGCTATCCAAGGGCCTTGCTGCAGTACTTGTGGGTGGATATGCCCTAATCCAGATTTTCCCTCCTGCTGTTACTTATCTCGCACTTATTCCTGCAAGGTACACTTTAATCATGACTATAAGAGACTTCCTCTGATAAATAATATTTTATGGTACTTGAAGATGCTTCTCCCAATAAAAAAAATATTATTGTACATGTTCATCTAGTAATTTTGTATCGTAGGTTACATGTACATGATTGCTTATCTCGCACTTATTCCTGCAAGATTCCTTTAATTATATGCTTATGTTCACTGCCTGCCTTCCTCTCTCACGATGCAACAGCTAGTAATAGGATGTACATTTAAGTTCTACCAAAATGCCCAAACTGGTGGTTGTTGTAGAATACCAACTACAAGCATGAAGTACATGCTCAAGTTGTAGTGCTAAGTCAAAGTAGTTCCATTTGATATTTGGAGTTTACTTTCTTAAAAGATGCTTTGAAGTACACTACTTAGATGGTATTGTTGTTCTAATTTTCTAGATAGTATCTGCTATTGGTTCTATAGAAACTCCCTTATAAACTTCAAGATCAATAGGGGGAAAGTGTAGTTTCATATCTATCTGATAAAATGCTTGAATATAGTCAATATTACCTATTATTTCCGAAACAAATTGGCATGGACTAATTTAACTTCTGGTTTTTATAATGGCCATACATAGTAAGTGAAGCATATAAGCAGGATTTAGAGCAGCTTCTTAGTTCTTACATAATAGAAGGTAACTCTACTGATCAGAGAAAAGGTAACTCTCCTTCCAGAATGTGAACTTCAACTTTTTCCTTTGTTTTTCTTTACAAAGAAATTAATTAAACTAACCAAGAAATTGCATAAGTCATAAAGTTTCTCCCCAGACCTGACATAGCTAAAATATCTGCTACTGCATTCTATTCTTGAGGGATCTAGGACGAAGTTGATGGCATAAAGTTGAAGATGCTTCTGATCTCAGTCAACTACTGTGTCATTCTCCAAGGTCCCAAACCCATCCATATTGGCCCACATTTTTTTCCTTGGATATCCCAGCCCCTTGTGTGGGATGCCACCTCAACTCTAGTAGTATCTACTTCACTTACATAGTTACTTTCTAATCCGTCCAGAGAATCATCTTCTAATCCAATATTGTCAAGCTGAGTGAGAACACTTCAGAACATTTAAGCGTGTAGTGTGCAGCTCAAATAACTAAAATGGTCCAAAAAATCACAAGATTAGGATAATATTATTAAATTGTAAATAAAGAACTGACAAAGGGAAGGATGAACTCTGATTGCTAGCAATGAACCCTTATTCTGCTTAGTCAATGTCAACCTTGGACCAATTCAAGCAGTAGTGTACCGTTAAGGGAGATAGTAAGCATGGCAAGGGAACTTAATGCCTCGTCCACATGAGAATTTTCTTAATATAAAGATTGTTATTAAAAATAAAGAAAAAATGAGATTTTTCTTTCTCTTCTTCCTCCTCATCCCCCCTCCTGTTCGGGAGGCTTATGCCTCTTACGTTCTGAACTACACCTCACGCCTCTATGTACTGGAATGTCTCGTGTCACGCCTCTGTGTTTTAAAACATTGGCTGTAACTCTGTATTTAATTCTCTTAATTGAATAAAATTCTCATTTTGCTGATAAAAAATTGTCAACCTTCACAGCACTTGTAAAGATGTATGGTAAAGAGAATCTACTGGTCCCAGACCATTAGAACTCCTTAAAAGATCACTGAAGAGCTGTTGACTAAGTGGAGGACATTTTGAATGGGATAAATGCCAAAACCCAACATAATAATCTTAGTTGTCAAGGCGATGCCTAGGCGACAAGGCGCTCTTGGAGGCTCGCCTCGCCTAATTGCCAAGTGTGTTATAAAATATTCATTTTGTGTGTTTATATACTCATCCCTTTTTATTATTTTTTATTTTTTAGAGTTTATTCAACACAAACATTGCTAAATGCTGTATTGAGCCCTCAAAAGACTTCAGAACCTGAACCAATAAGCAAAGAAGAACTTAAAATGTTGTTTAATCAACACATTTTCTTCTTTCACATCTTTTTCTTCTTCTTCTTCTTCTTCCACCTTTTCTTTTCTTATTTTTCTATAACAAAAATAGGGTTTCAGCCCCTATATTTTTGAATTTCTTTCTTCTTTTTCTTTCTCATGAATATGTTGGAATATGTTGATTTTCTATACTTTAACATGAAGTTTATACTTTTTTTTTATGAAAATTATGGATAATCATTAAGGAAATATGGTTATGGAACCTAGTATACTACCCTATGATATATGTTTTTTACTTAAAAAATCCATTGCCTAGGCGACTAGGCAACAAGACTCCCTCCGGTTGCCTAGCCTCGCCTTGGCGCCTTGATAACTATGATAATAATCATTGTATGAAGTGTGAACAACTTCATCCTTGAGGAGGCGATTAAGTTTGCCATTTAAGTTCCTTATCAGGCTTTTCTTGTAATAGAAGTTCACTTGTCACTTTTTATATGCAATTTTGGCTATAATAATTGGACTACAGTTTAATGAATTTCCATTTGTTAAGGAACTGCACCAAAGAGAATTTAGCCACTTGAATTTCCATTTGTTGCAGTTCACTTGTCACTTGTCACTTTTTATATGCAAGTGGTTGATTTCCATAATCCCCAAAGTGCTGGTTGCGGGACTTGATTTCGCGTAACAAACCAGCTAACACACCAACGAGCCAGCCCTCAGTTGCTATCGCTATTGAGTTGAGTAGAACTGTGGAAATTTATGTCTTTGTGAATTATGCGCTTTGCCTCTTTTAGTGGTTTGTATACTTACATTTTTGGTATCCTTTGATTAGATGGAACCATGTTGCAACTCTACTTACAGTTAATGTTTTCCAGTAGATACCTATATAACAGGGATTGTCCTAAAACTAGGAGTTTGATTTTATTACCTATAAGTGTATTTGCTTCTGATGAAATCATAGGCATAAAGGCCTTTGTCTTGGAAAAAAGAAAGGTCAGCTATACAAGAAATCAACCACTTGACAGCAGCTTTGACTCTTTTTTTTTTTTTTATCAGCAAAAGAGAATTTAGCTTTTTATTAAATTGAAAAACAGATTACAGTTTCTTTATCTATTCTGCACTCCAGTGTATTACAATATACAAATAAACCCAGATTATGTAGATCAACAACCCACTGTTGTGATACAGCCAGCTACAATTTAGCCCAAAATAGAGGTCTATGAACTCCCTGTTTTGCTAGAGTATCCTCCAGTCCATTCCCTGTCCTTTTAACCCATCCAAACGTGGAGTTAAATCTTTTAGCAAGAGAATCGATCTCCCTGAATGCAAATCTGTACTTCCATGGTGCTGAGTTTACCTGCTTAGCCCAAGAAATAACCAGAAGCGAGTCCCCCTCTACCTCCAATTCTCTAGCTTCTTATTGGTTCTGCTAATATCAGGCCTTGTAGGAGTGTCACTGTCTCTGCCTGAACCGAGCCTCCATACCCAATTGGTCCTGAGTACAATGCCACAATTTCCCCATTTTGTTTCCGGAATACTCCTCCTATTCCTGCTCTCCCAGGGTTTCCAAGGGAGCTGCCATCAAAGTTCAGCTTCAATTTATTTGGTTCTGGAGGTTTCCAATCCATCTTAGTAATCTCTGTATGTGTTCCCATCTGAGTCACTTCCTTCAATTTTCTCATTATTATCATTTATTGAGATATCTTTGAATATGTCAATAGTTTTTACCCAGTGTGCAGATCTGATTTTGATTGTTTTAATTACTTCCTCTCTTGACCTGCTCTTCTCATTGAAAATCCTCTGATTTCTTTCTTCCCAGATGGTCCAAACTACAGCTGCTCTTGTTACCTTCTATAAGCATTTCACCCTTTTTTTCTGTAGCCGCATAGAATTAGAGTTGAATAAGCTATCCGCATCTTGTGGGGGTTCCCATCTGCAGCCAAAGAGTGAGGAAAAGTAGTCCCAAATGCAAGATACAAAAGAGCAAGAGATTAGTAGATGAGGTAGGGTCTCACCACTAGCCAAACAGAGGATACAAACATGAGGAGACAGGCACTTAACTGGCCTTCTTTTCTGAAGCAAGTCACAGGTATTAACCTTTCCAAGGAACACTTCCCAACACAGGGTTTGCACTTTAGGAGGGATTGGCTTACACCAAATTTCTCTTACTGGAAAAGTCTCCCCCAAGGGATCTAAATGGGTAAGGGTGTTGAAAAAGGATATTGATAAAAAAAAAAGGGTGTTGAAAAAGGAGGCACAAGAGAAGTGACCATCCGGGGATGGAGACCAAACTTTCCTGTCCATAGAGTTTTGGTCCAAGAAGACTTGTTTCAAATTTGAAATCTGAAGAACTAGGGATTCACATTTGTTGTCCCTCAAACCCCTTCTAAAGCCAAAGTCCCAGTTTAAACCAAGTCTAAGAGTAATCCAAACCTGGCAACAGGCTTAGTCTTATAGTCTGACAAAGTATGGAGAGAAGGGAATTGCTGTTTAAGGGGTGAGTCCCCCAGCCAAAGGTCTTCCCAAAAAAGGACTTTGTTTCCACACCCCACATCATACCGAATGTAATTAAGGAAAGAAGGAAGTGCCTCAAAAATTGCTTTCCAAGGGGAAAAAGAAGCTGCCTGAGGTGCTAGTCTTGCATCCCAGCCATTGTCCGCTACACCATGGATGCTTTCAATGACCTTGTGCCACAACCTTTCACTTCCTCTTAACCAGATTTCCTACACCAAGTCCTCCTTGATCCTTGCCTTTACATACCTCCAAGACAGCAGCTTTGACTCTTAGTAGTAGGAAGCTATCATCTCTTGCCATGAATGCCAATATGAGGCCCTTATGAGCCATAATCTCTGCTCCAGTAGAATCAATTACTGTGTCCTTTCTGGCAAAAAGAAATGAATCCCCAAAATCTGTGACTGCTCCTTTTTTACTTTTGCCTTATTAATGATTACAAATTAATCTCTTATACTTTTTATGTAAATCCCAGTGTATATACATGGGTTCTGGTGTATATTTTGATCCATTCATAAGTACAAGAAAAAGCTACACTTTGCCTATTCACATAAAAAAGCTTTTATTTTGATAGGTCAAAACAAGAAAAAAAACTTCCAATCCCTGATAGTCCATGAACCCTAAGAAGCTTTCATCTGAATTGAATTTGACCACTACTTCAGGAGGGAGGGTGGTGTCCTGGATCAACTGCACTCTCCTGGAAGATAAGCTGGCAATAATAGATCAACTCCTAAGAAGGGAGTTCAATCAAGTTATCTCTGATTGCATCTCTTCAGAACCCAATAGGTCATTCTGATAGAGAGCTAGAAACTGAGTGAATAAGGTGGAGAAGGATTCTCAGGCCGTGATTGGTTGGATGAGGAATGGGTCAGATGATGTGTGATCTTTGAGATTCCTCATAGAGAGAAGGGCCTTATCTTCCAAAACGAAGACCTTATTCGGATGGATCCCAAGGTCTGCCATCTCTGACTGATAATTTATCTAGGAGAGGACTTGATAAGTTTCTTTTGTTGTGGTGCTAATTTGTCTTGAAAGAGTCATTCTTCTTTCTTTTCTTTTATAGCTTCCCTCTGCCTTTTGTCTGAGTTGTGGTAGAGAGGATGTTTGAGTTTTCTTCCCTTTATTTTAGCCACTAATGAGATCTATTAATAGAAAAGAAATCATGAACTTTGGGCAGTACAAATACTACAAGCATGAAATATGGTTATTATGAGACTAACAACTATACATACAATGAAATAAAGGAAGTATAAATGAATTCTGGTGTGGTGGAATTAGTTCCCTTGTCGCACCACAAGATCTTGTACTAGTGACCAACTGATCATATATCAATGCTGTTTTTAATCTTGCCCTGAAATTAAGAAACTTCTTTAGCACCTGAGCTTGCTAAATTAACCATTTCCCAAGTGATTGAATCATTAGGTTCAGAACACATGAATATCTTCCACTACATGCTCAGTGAAACTGTGAAAAGGGAAAAGCATTAGTTCATTATAACAAAACTAAAATCAGACTGATGCTCAAACTCCAAAAGCAACTATTGCACTTGGCAATATAGTGGTTGGATGTTCATTATTTGGAAAGTAAACCTTTGCTTGTGTTACTTGACTGAACTAAATGAAGCATTTTCTAAGAAATTGTTTGAATGTTCAACTGTAGCCCCCTATGGTGAACTTTTCAGAGCTCCTATGAAAGTGCATGTTATGCACAAAGTATTGTATCTTCAAATATTTAGAAATTAAAAGTTCATGAAGAAAGATTCTCTTTCAGTTACAATCTGCATACCTATTTGCATTCAAGTGCATCCACAGGCACAGGTTCATATTCAATGAAATTAGATCTTGTAAATATGGTAAAGAACTTGGATATAGTCTCAGATGCAATGGTCCCTGATCCTGTATTCATCTTTACTCTGTAATCCTAACTTTTTCACTGAGGATATTCACCAATTTGGAACCGAATTTGCAGGACAATACCTTTTGCTTGGAACCTTATAACAGCTGGTTATGTTGAGCAATCAGTTTTTGGGGTATGCTTTTTTTGTTGTAAATGATGCAATTGTACTTTCACAATCATCCACTTCCTTAAAACAACAGGTCTTGAATCTACACTTGTTTTCCAGGTGGTCGTAGGCACCGTTGGTCTTCTTTTTATTGGGAAGCTGCTTGAACCCATATGGGGTTCTAGGGAATTCTTTAAGTTCATCATTGTAGTTAACTTCCTAACTTCTGTTTGCATCTTCATCACAGCTATTGCTTTGTACTATATAACAAGGCAGGAGAATTATCTGTAAGTATCTCTTATTATCCAAATACAACTGTTTTGTCATGTTTTACTTACAGTTTTTCTTGCTTAATTTTCTTTCTTAAGCATGCTATTTGTCTTTGGTAAAAATTTCATTTTCTTTTTGCAGTAATAACTAAGAAAATTATCACCCAAGCCTTGTACCAATTATATGGGGTTGGCTACCGCTACATGAATCTTGTTTTGCCGTTCTGTTCTGTTAAGTGCCATATCATTGTTAAATTTTGAATCCTTGAATCATTCCTCGCTACCTCAACCTATGTCCTTTTTTTGTCCCTATCTCTTCTAGCTCCTTGCACTTATAACAGATAAGCAGGTGAATTTTCTTTTACAAAATATGGAGTCCTAGATAATAGTTGAACATGGTTTAGTAGCTGACCAAAAAGTTGGATAAAGCTTGTCTAAGAACAGTGCAAAGCTTTTTTCCTTGACTCACATGAGACAATTGATTATTAAGTACGGAAAAATAGAGTACTTTCTCATAAATAGGAACAATTTTGACAATTTTGAATGTCAATTATTTGCTATTTGTTTTGTAAATGCTTATTTAACTGCATTCAAAGAACAAACATTGTCATGCAATGGCTCGAATTTGATAGATCCTAATCCCTGTGCATCTGCATCACTTGAAGACACAGGTAAAACAGGGAGTGCTTTGCCATCCTTTTATTTATTCTGGCTTACACATTACTGTGTTATTAACTTTGTTTCACTCTTTTTTTAATCAGTAGCTGCTTTTTTTTTTTTTCATTTTCTATCAGTTTTTTTCCTGTCATCAACATCAAGGAGGATCAACCTTCGTTTTGATGAAATTTCTTTTCTTCTTCCTTTTTTTCTTTTTGTAGCTATACACCTCTTTCTGGCTTCCACGGGGTCCTTTCAGGTTTCCTGGTTGGCATCAAGCAAATTGTACCTGATCAGGAACTGGCTTTATTTTCTGTGTTAAAAATAAAAGCAAAGGTATGATTGTCAGTTTGTCACATGTGCTCTAATTTTCTGTCCATAGTGGTGGCCATTATTTGATATGAAGTTCCCACAACTGAATATCTAACTTACTTCTGCCTGCCATTGCTTACACTATCCAGTGGGTGCCTTCTCTTCTGTTGTTTCTGGCCATAGCTACTAGTTTCTTCACAGAAAATGCAGCATCATACCTTCCAACCTTGATATTTGGTACATACACTAGTTGGATATACCTGCGGTATCTTCAGAGAAAGCCCGAAACAAGCCTCAAGGGGGACCCTAGTGAGGAGTTTGCCTTCTGGACATTTTTCCCTGAATTTTTACGGTAACATGAAATTTTTAGTTTCTACTCTTAAAAGTTTAAACCTCTATTTTTTTTTTCTTATTCAACAGTCTCCTTGTCATTGGCATTGCAGGCCAGTCATTGATCCTATTGCATCAGTATTTGATCGGATGCTCTGTGGAAAATCTGAAACTTCTAGTCAAACCAAAGGCTATACCTTGGCTGCAGAACCATTGCCTGGTTCTGACCCTATTGAGGCATCACGGAGGAGGTAATTTCTTCATTTCTCACTTGCATATTGCATAGAGAACATTGGGCATGCAACTGGTTAGATGTCTGTTCTAACAATGTGAAGGTATTTCAAATCCCAATTGGTCAATTGAATATCCCATTTATTGGACTGGTCAAAGGTCCAAAAGCCATAACTGCTGGCGGTAATGAATTAGAAATTGAACAAATGCTTGGATGGTTGGGGGAAAAATCTCTGTTTATTGTTTAACAAAGGGGTGTGGAGAAGAATATTGGTTTCTGACAATGATACAAAGTGTCTTGCATATTCCTACAAGGCCTAAAACAAGGGTATTAATTGAATCTATGTAAAATGATCTGACACACATGTTGGTATTTGGGAAAAAACTAAAAATTCTATAAATGGTATGCCAGTAATAGTTGAGAGGAAGAGGTACATGTTAAATTAAATTCTCAGTAGAAGTCTCAGCATGACTAACATAGCCAAATTTCAGAAAATGGAGAATCCTTTTTTGATTATTTGTTACATGTATGGGAACTTATGCCTTTACATAAATGGAACTTGGAAAAATTGATGATTCAGTAGTTTTCTGATGGTTGGGAAATAAATCATACACTTCGTGAACCTGTTGTAAGTCTATATTTTTTTGTTATGGTCCATTAAGTGTTAATCTTGCCATATGGAATCATCATAATCAAATCAGCACGAATTTAAATCTGTGACATATCAGACACTGGACTTTATTTTATGGCTTTCCTCTACATGCTTTTTTGTCTCTTTCTTCATGACAATTATGTTTGAACCAAGGTTTAAAGTATTGAATATAATATGTATCTGCCAATGCAGTCTAATATTGTTTTTTTTGCTGTGTCAGCACATGGCATGGGTGGATCCATGCTGGCCTGTATTTGGTGTGCATCAGCTGATATGGACTGATACATGGCTGATACGGGTTGATACAGACCCATTAAATTTTCTTTTATACTTGTATTAATTGCCTTGTTCAATCCCCATTAATTTGTCTTTTTTATTTTTTAGTACACTCATATGGGGCAACTTTTTAGTCCATTAAATTACGAAAACTAATATGAGCGCAATTTCCAAATTTGAAGTCAAATCAAATTTTTAATGTTCAAACTCATTTAAAGAAATCACAGAACATGTAACAATGTGCTCTCAAAAAGACTTGAACGAAAAAAAGGACTTGAACCCAAATCTCCCATATGACTACCTAGAATGCTTATTATTTATGTGAGTTTTCCTAGCATAACCATATGTTTCCAAAGCAAATCTGGTTGTCTAAATTGCCTTTATACTATCACGTTTCTGATACTCTGAATCTAGGTTTGGACAATTAAAATTACATGAAAGATTTCTTCAAATAATTTTTTATGAATTTTAAACTTTTTTTTTATTTGCCATATTGCAGAGAAAGGGGAGCTCGAGCACTTGAAGAAAGATTAGCAGCAGAGAGGGCTGCAGGGGGGGGTACAGAAGACCTTAAACGTAGAGATGCTGTAGAAAATGTTTGAAACTTTGAGTGTCATTTCCATCTCAATACAAGTTGGGCAGTTCTAAAAATGTGTCTTTGCATTCTGGAGGAAGAGTTTTATTTCAGGTTGTAAATGATCTCATCAATCTTCATGTTATGAATATTACAGTGTTGCAGTTCACCTGGGAAGATTCATCAATATAATTGGTATACATGCATGGAAATTCATCAATATAGTTCTTGTAATTTGTTTTTCATCCAGGACAATCCCTGTTCGCATATTGGAAACTGAATTGGACATTGAACTTGAACCGCTAGGATCATGGTTCAGCAGTTTAACCGGTGTGCTTTGGATGATAATGAAAATAGTACTCAGTCAAAAAGTAAAGGCAGTTGAAATGGGATTTTAGGAGGCAAGTAGAAAATCTCAAAGCACCATTGTCCATTAAAAAAGAACATACTTTTTAACCATTTCAGCAAAAACTATGTAGTTAGACTGGGATTTTTTTTAAACGGTTCAAATAGATTCTTGATGCCTCTTGGCCGAGTCTATGGCTTTTAAAGTGTCACCCTTCGTTGGTAAGAAAGAGTTCTATGAGAGTGGAGGGAGGGAGAATCCTGTAGCGCACGCAGGTATAATAATTTGTTATTTTTTTCAGGTTCATTTTTATTTTTTCTTGGTGAATACAATTTTCTAGTGTAGACGTGATTAAACCAGATGACAGTTTCTATTGCTAGAAAATGTCCCACGATACAATAAAGATGAGATCGGGCATCATAAGCCGTCTTGCAGATCATCCAATCCAATCCAATAGAGCCAGCCCCCTGGTCCAGATTTCTTTTAGACTGCACAAAACTGATCACAAAAATTAGATTTGCATGAACCATCAAAATGTCTCCACTCCCAGCGACATGCATGACATGACATGGTCAAGGATCAAAGTATCAGTATGGATCAATTTGAATGCGGATACGGATATGGATACGCTTAGAAAAGGCATGGATACAGACGAAAAATATAGAAATGTTTGAAACTGCTAGGGAAATGCACAGAAATTTCATAAATATATTAAAAATATTAACTTTAATGTCAAAATAATTATAAATAATATATAAATACATAGGAGCTTTATATTTTAATAGTATATATGAAGAAATGTATTGCAACCAACATAGCGAGATGCATAGATATTATGCAATTTTATTGATAGTGCATCGATCAAGAATCTAAGACATATTATATAAATTCTTAGAAATTAATACATGCACAAAGCCATTATTATTTTATTTTTTATTAAATTCCAAGGCACAAAACATATGCAACTATTCTATTTGAATTACTATACCAATATTTCTATTTTACTATTTTTATTTTTTAAAATTAACAAAAAATTAATTCACAAATAAATATATTATTATAAAAAATTAATATGTTTTTTTCATTTAAAAATAAATAAATATGTTATTATAAAATGTAAAGTAAAGTATTAATTAATAATTTATAAAAATATATAATCTTAACTTAAAATATATCAAATCTATTAAAATTTTGAAGATATATATCGTATAAAATTCATAAATTTTAATTACTAAAATAACTATTCCATTATTAATATTTTTATTTTATAAAATTTCTAAAATATAAAATTATTTTATTTTTATATAAATGTGGATTAGTGGAATTGACCGATTCAATTTATGTTATATTCTCAAATATTTTGTAAATAATATTTTTATTTTTTAAATAGTAAAGACATTATTATTTAATAATTTATAGAAAATTGAATATACATACAATTTGTAAATTTATAAATTTTAAGTATTAAAATAAATATTCTATTAATAATAATTTTATTTGTATAAATTTCTTGAAATTAAAAATCAATTTTTGGTATATATGTAGATTTGATAAAATATTCATTCAATTGTTCATAAAATACTAATTTTAAAAATTATTTTTTTTTAATTTATAGTTGGAGTTGTTGAATATTAGTATATATTGTTTATTTGGGTTGTATGTAAACTACTAGACGTTAATGTGGATATATATTAATATATTTCTTTTATTAACAAAAAAAAAAATGGTTGAAGAGAGAGGCGGGTGTTGTTTGTAATTTGATGAAACATGGTTCGAATCACGCCATTCTCAATTTTTTAAACTGAGACAGTAGGCATGGACGCGCGGTATGCTGTTGTACCGGTGCGTATCGCTACCGATACGCGCGACTGCAGGTTCCTACATGGGTACAACTGGGGCAGGCCAAGGGCGGTCGCGTACCATCGCCTCAACCGTGTGGTTGACTGTTGAACCCAACCTTTGATTTTATTTTTCTTTAATGTAAAAAACGATCCTTTGATGTTTGACGAAGGATTCATGTATTCTGTTATAAGTCTTTCAAATCCGATCAATATAAGATGTGTCATAATCGATGTCTTAAAACATATATGAATAATGACAGGGAGCTTCAATATAACTACATCACATTCACATGAGTGCTGCTTTATCGAAACGAAAGCGAGTAGTACAGCACTGCAGCTAGCTAGCTAAAACCTAAAACCCTGGCTTTTCAGTTTTCACTACCTGGAAAGATGCGTGTGTACCGTGTAGGCCTCGCAAGCTCTAAACTATTTTAAGAGGTACTCCGTACTGCAACTTAAAATCCAAATCGCCTCATGTGCCTTCCCTCTATTTTATTTATTTTGGATTCATTAAGTTGGTTTCTTTACTTTAAATGCAGGTCTTCTTTCGAGTCATTGCTACATAAATGCTACGCTTATACGTCGTACTACTTAGGCAGTTGTCCATATGAAGTTAGTAAAATCTTCCGGTTTAAGATAGTGCTACAACTTGGCGGGCTTAACCAGCGACTGACCCGACCCATCCCAGGTTAGGCCTTAATTTTTGGGCTACGGCTACGGCTACGGGCTGTGCCTAGGCCACAAAACTCATGCTTGACCTAAATTTGGATTGGTCTTGGGTTGAGGCCTCAAGTAGCTCGAGCCCAGCCCAACTCAATCTACAGATGCATTTTATTTGTATAAATTATCTTTATACATAAAATGAAATTTGTACATATTTTTAACCAGTTCTACTCCTAAATTGAACCACAAAGCCGAATATAAGATAACTTTGTAAAAATATATTGATAAATTCTCTCAAACCTGGTCAACTCACCAAATCCCGAACTCAACCTTAGGTGTTGGTTAGCTTCAGATTAAGCCTGGGTTGATAAATTTGGACGTGATCTCGGGTTGGGCCAGGCCCAAGCCTGAGATTTACACTTTTAGGTTGGGCCTGGATTGACCTTCAACCCGACCCAACATCACCGTCCAAAATTTCCATGTAAGTTTTAGCTTATTTCGTTATCAATTCTTCAACATCCCCTTGGGCCTTGGCTTTCAGAGAGAGAGAGAGAGAGCAACATCCATGCATCAACCGACGCGCGCGAAAAACTCATCTTGGCAACTGGCAAGCAAGTCCTACATTTTCCATATCATAAGCAACTGGTCGGCTGCCTACTTATTGGTCAACCTCATAACTCAAATAGAAGCAAGTATTACTCGCTGGAAGAGAAAAGCAAGCTCACCCAGCTGTTTGTTTGTGGCGGAGAAGGAAATTGCATGTGAAATAAACCCAAATCCAAGGCTTTCTTCTCTCTGCTACTGACTTATATATAAAGAACCACCCCCATCCCATTTCATCTCCACTCTTAAGGACATTTGGCATCAACAAGAGGGGAGGGTAGCAGATAGAAAGAAAAGAGGTGTAGTGACTAGTGAGAAAACTAGCTAGAGATGGATAGAAGGAAGACATGCCTTTTAGTGACCACCTTTCTTATTGTGTTTTTCTTCATGGAAGCCGACTTTGTTCAGGCTCAAGGCAAGGGTAAAGGAAACGGAAATGGCAACGGGAACGGGAACGGGAACGGCAACGGCAACGGGAACGCAAAGAAGAACCTCGATGCTGCATCGACAAATTACATGGTACTGACGCCAAAGAAGGGGACAGGGCAGGAACGAGCACTGTGTATGGCAAGAGGGCGTTGCTATCTCAAGATCCTTCAGTGCCCTGCCCAGTGCACTCTGCGGAAGCCTAAGAAGAACAAGAAGGTCAAGGGATGCTTCATCGACTGCAGTAGCACTTGCGAGACCACTTGCAAATGTACCCAACCCTTACTTATTGTATTTAATCTTGCTACTTCTCTTCTGCTATTCATAACTACTTCTATTTCTCCATCTAATTAATTTATACTTAGCTATACCTGCTTGCCGTTATCCTCACTAATTCTTATGAATGGGGAAAGGCAAGTGCAAGATCACTCGCTCACTAATTCTTATGAATGGGGAAAGGCAAGTGCAAGATCACTCACTCACTCACTCTTTAATGTATGTTGCTCATCTGTCTGTTTTTGGCAGTCAGGAAACCCAACTGTAATGGATATGGCTCGGTCTGTTACGACCCCAGATTTGTTGGTGGTGACGGTGTGATGTTCTACTTTCATGGAGCTAAGGGAAGGAATTTTGCCCTCGTATCAGACGATGAGTTTCAGATCAATGCACACTTCATTGGTACCCGACCCGCAGGGAGGACCCGCGACTTCACCTGGGTGCAAGCCCTCTCCGTCATGTTCGGCTCTCACACTCTAGACCTTGCTGCAAAGAGAGTTTCTCATTGGGATGATAACGTCGATGCTCTCATTGTCCGATGGGACGGTGACACCGTTCAAGTACCCACTGACGGAGAAGCTGAGTGGAGGACTCACGATGATGATGGGAAGAGAGAGGTTGTGGTAGAGAGGACCGATGACACCAACAGTGTAAGGGTGACGATAACCGGATTGCTAGAGATCGACGTGAAGGTGACGCCAATCGGAGCAGAAGAGAACCGGGTACACAACTACCAGTTGCCAGACGACGATGCCTTTGCTCACTTGGAGACTCAGTTCAGGTTCGCAAATCTGACGGACTCAGTTGAGGGTGTTTTGGGTAAAACCTACAGGCCAGACTACGTCAGCCCCGTCAAGGTTAGCGTCCCCATGCCAATGATGGGAGGGGAAGACAAGTATCAGACCCCATCCTTCCATTCAACCGTCTGTGCGGCTTGCAGGTTCCAAAGGGTGCCGTCTGTGACAACCACCATCAACGAGGTGGCTCAATACTAATGAAAGGGGATAACAAAGACTATTCTACTTCTTACCCTGATCAAACTTTATGAATTTATGATCCCACATTGTTCTGTTTAAAGCTATATATGTTCTCTGATTTAAACAATGAAATAAGGGCCCGAAGTAACAATTTGCCCAATACGTGTACTATTAATAAATTCCATCTGAAATTTTAAGCACAAAATTCTCTCTTCCATCAAAAAATTAAATAATGCAAAGCGTGAAGGTTACGGGTATAATGTGAAATGGAATAAAATGTTTTTTTAGATTTTTTTTTTCTCTAAACCAAAAAGGTTGTTCTGTTATTGTTCAAGCGGGTTTTATTGGTTCGACTATAATGCTGAAAAGACGGGATGAAAAAATTGGGCCCAATTAGATCAAATTAGGAGATAGACGTAACAATTTTTTCTATACTATAGCCACTATAAGGAAGAGCAGAAATAGGACTACAAAGATAAAAAATAAGGATGGTGAATGGATTTGTGACTAAAAGAACATAGTTGAATTCCTAAGTGAAAATTTTGAAAATAGATTTGAAGCTGAAATTTCAGTTGATAGGGAGGATTTTATTGAGGTAATTAATCCGTGCATATCCAGTGAGCAATATATGTCCATTATTAAAGAGGTAACAGATGAATAAATAAAAAGACACAATTTTTTCTATGAAGGACCTCAAGGCCCCGGGTCCTGATGGTCTTAATGCTTTATTTTTTAAAAAGTATTGGTACATAATTGAAAATTCCATATATGTGTAGTGTGGTGAAAGCTTTCTTCCATTCTGGCAAGATGAATAAAATTATTAACAAAATTTTTATCACACTTAATTCTAAAATTTTCAATCCATAATCGACAAATAACTATAGACCCATTAGCTTGTGTAATGTCATATATAAAATTATCTAAAAAATTTTGGTTAATAGAATTAAGTCATTTCTTAATGATATTGCCTCCCCTTTTCAGAGTGCTTTCATTCCAATAAGACAAATAACAGACAATGTGCTCATTGCCCATGAAATTATGCATTCTATGAAGAAGAAGAAGAAGGGAAAGATAGGGATTATGGTTTGTAAGATTGATATGGAGAAAGCATATGATAGGCTTAATTGGAACTTCATAGAAAAGGTCCTCAGAAGATTTGGGTTCCATAATACTTGGGTTAATTGGGTCATGGAGTGTATTAGGACAATGACTTACTAGATTTTGATAAATGGTGTTCCTGCTAGGGATATCACTCCTAGAGGGATCAGGTAGAGAGACCCTTTATCTCAACATATTTTTGTCCTTTATGTGGAGGCCCTCTCTCTAAACCTTATGAGTGAAGTTTTTGCTCCCAAGAGTCCTATTGGTTGTCGAGTTTCTAAACAAGGGCCATCCATTCCAATTCTGCAATTTGTAGATGCCTCGGGCCAGGCTCCTAATTTTTCCAAATCAACATTACTTTTCTCAAAAAATATTCACCCAAAATTCAAGAAAATCATGGCTAAAATCCTTAAGATTCCTTTACAAATAAAAAAATGAGAATTAATTGGGTTCTCCTGTATTTAGCAACAAATATAACAAGGACACCTTCAAATTTTTGGGTGAGAAGATGGAGAGTAAACTGGCAGGTTGGAAAAGAAACTATCTCTTCCTTGTTGGTAAAACTACTCTCATAAAGGCTTTTAGCAACATGATTCTTCAATATATTATGAAATCATTTAAAGTTCCGAAAGGTGTTCTTCAGAATCTCGATAAAAAAGCAATTATGGACCAACAATAAGGAGAGGAAACCCCTCCACTTCAACCATTGGGACCAGGTCTGCACTTCTAAGCTTTGGGATGGGCTGGGCCTAAGGAATTTAGGATGGATGAATAAAGCATGCCTAGCAAAATTAGGTTGGAAATTACTAAATGAAAAAGATAACATATAGGTTCAAGTTGTAAATAATAAATATTTGCAGAGAGAAAACTTTTGGGATGCTAAGCCAAAAAAGAATCATTCATGGGCTTGGAAAGGCATCCTAGAATCCTGAGACTTGATTAAGAGTGGTATAGGATGGATTATTGGCAAAGGCAATGACACAAAATTTTGGGTTAATAGGTGGTCAGATGAGGATCCCCTTATCAACTTGATTAATAAAATAGAGATTAATAATTTGGACCTCCGTGTTAGTGTAATCATTAACCAAGAAAACAGTACTTGGAAGGAGGATTTGACAAAAAATTTAGTGCCTTTGAGTGCATGGGAAAAAAATTAATACTGTTTTTATTCTATCTAGAGATCATGAGGATAAACTCGTATGGAGGCCTAACCTGATTGGAAACTTCTCAATCAAATCAGCCTATAATGAGACTGACTGGATGCATGGAAACCCTACTAGGGCGATAAAGAAAATCAATAATGTTTGGAGACTAAAAATTGCTCCTAAGATTAAAGTCTTTTTGTATCTCTTACTCAACAACAAACTTCTTTCCAAGGTAGCCCTTAGAAACAGAGGATTTGATGCTGACAGATGTTATGATTATTGTGGTGATGAGGAGGATTCTGTTCATATCTTTTTAAAGTGTCATTTTACTAGACAAATATGGCTCATCCCGAGAGATTCCATCCCATCTCCTCCTGAGAACAACTCAATGCTTGAGTGGTGAACTTCTTTGGATGGTGATACTAAAAATACTAAGGTTCCGCTTGTGAAAGAAAAGATTGTTGTTTTATTGCGACATATTTGGAAGAATCGAAATAACAAGATTTTCAATAACAAGTCAATTCCTCCTCCCATAATCATTGATAGAGCTAGAAACTCATTTATGGAATTTGCTTCGAGTTTTGATAGTAATTCAATGAATGATCCTAGTAAACAGTTTATCCCATTGAAGTGGATAAATCCAAAACTGGATGAAATCAAAATTAACTTTAATGCTTCTTGCATTAACAACCGATGCACCATTGTTTGTGTGGCCAAAAACCACCTTGGCCAAATTTTAGACTTCAAAGCATATGAAATAGGAATTATGACTATCAATCTTGCTGAAGTTTGAGCTGCTTAGAAGGCCCATAATCTTGCCCTCAATTTCAACGAAAAATCCATCATCGTTGAGGGAGATTTAAAGTCAGTTATTGACAGTTTGAAGAGCCAAGTGAATCCTCCATGAAAACTTAAAAAGATCATCAAAGGTTGTAGGTAGACCTGTTCATAGGCCGGGCCGAGCTTTTATTCATCATTAATGGAAATACGCTAGGCCCGACCAACGGGCCTATAACTTGGGCCTGAGCCTGGCCCTGATAAAAAGCCTGAAGCCCGACCTAATAAAAAATAATTACAATTTTCCCTATTCAAATTAGAATTAAAAATTCAGATGTTTTTTTTTTCCTATTTAAATGAACAATGGGCCTACAAGATGGTTTTTTCCCTTTCTTTAAAGTTTTAAAATACAGTTTTACATTCTTAAATAAAAAAATTTATTCAAATGGACATAATCACATAACCCATTTTAAGTTTAATTTTAGGTCGGGTTGAGCCGGGCTTGGACCAGGCTATTTTGACAAAACCCGAGCCCGGCTTGAATTTATTGCAGGCCAAGCTTTTTGGCCCGAGTTTATGCCCACAGGCCTATTTCAAACCCATCCGGGGGCCGGGCCGGCCCGTCAGGCCACCCGGCCCATGAACGGGTCTAGTTGCAGAGGTCTTTGGTCGAGAGGATGGATGGCATAATCAACCTATCAGGAAATTCAGTTGCTGATTGGCTTGCTAACTGAGCTCATTCCAATCATATGTCTTATCCTTCGTTGCCACATTCCTTAAAGGTTACGTCTTGTGCTGACATTTGGGGAAGAGCTACCCCGCTGTATATAGCTACTCTTTTCTGGATTTATTTAAAAAAAAAAAAAAACATGATGATACCGATAAACTATACCGACATAAGTGATCAGGTGTCCTTTCATCAAAATTCACGGGGTTTTACGAACGATAACGAATAACCGATACCCGAATTATTTTTAGCCATTGGATGAATTGACGTTTTATGGACGAATATCTGACCATCTCGGAAAAACTTGCTGTTTAATGGTTTTCTATTTTACCTTATCTTTTCCCCGGATTGGACGAGTACCTGACCGACCATTCGGAAAAAAACTTCGACGTTTTATGGACGAATACCTGACCATTCCTGAATCCTGAACGCACAGAGAGGTGAGAACTCTCAGTTCCGAGTCTCGACCACTTTCTTTTTCTTTCTTTAGGACTAGAACACCCCCCCCCCACCCTTTTCTCCCTGACATTTATTAGTTACAATCTTGTATGAGCTTCGCATCGTTAAGCCCCCAATTGGCAGCAACAACTCTTCATGCACAGGTAGCTTCTACTGCAAGACTCTTTGTTACTCCTACGCACGGATCACCGAAGCTATCAATTGAAACTGCAATGCTGCAACTTTTTGATCCAACGCAAGCCTGTTGCATTTACATTCATGAGAACAAACCAGTAAAAGAGAGCAAAGATCAAATAGGAACTCATCGAACAATGAAAATAAAGATAGCGATTCGGTAAAGACTAGACAGCTAATAATACCTGCTGCACAATGGCAAGAGCACTGGTGCTGCTACACTTCCCCTGTTTGAAACTCCCACAAGCCCCACGAGGAGTTCCAAAGCTTGCAAAATTGATTGAAGAGATGACCTGATTAGGAAATGGACACTCAAGCTGAAGCACCGGCCCTGATTTCTTTCCCGTCTTTGTATCTGAATCCCATGTATCCACAGGAGGTGGGTGCGACTCCGACACGTGGGAACACAAGCTTCCTGTCTGTCTCGTAGCAAAAGATATCTGCGTAGGATCACCTCCCACCTCCTCAAACAAAACTAGAGTGTTCCCACTTGGTTGGATCCATGAACGAGGCACATGATACCTGTGAAATCAAAAGATGTTAACCAAAATTCTTTCAAAACGGAACAATTCCCCCACGGCAAAAGCTCTACACTTACAGATTCTGTGATGCCTTGCCGCAGTTCTTGTGGCATTTGTTTGAATTGTAGGGTCCTCTGTAATCGCAAGAATCTGTGCAACCACTCTGGGGAGAGATATAAGTTGGCCAATAACGCCCAATGCTCTGGCCATTCACCCAGGCCTCACCCTTCCCCATTCCCGTGAAGTCGAGTGCAGTTGGGTCATTGCCACTAGGAGCATCAAAGCTTGTCTGCATTTCCGGTTATGCATAATAGGGTTACAGTTTTGGGTATTTAGTTTAATAGCATGTAGGGATGTCAATTGACCGGTTTTGGGTTGGACATGTCCAAATCAAAATCAATTTGGACGGATTGGATGGACCAATAAGACATATTGAATTGGATTAATCTAGACTTAGTGGTCCAAAGCATTTATTGGATTGGATTAGACTTGATCCATCCGTAATAGATTTATATTGGATTGGATTGGACTTATCCAATATTCGATCCATTGATAGAAGATATGAATACAGGTGTCAATGGATCAGGTTTGGGTTGGAACCAATCTAAATTAAAACCAAATTGAACTGATTGGACCAGTCCATAATATTCATTGGATTGAATTGGACCTCGTCCATCTGTAATGGATTTATATTGGATCGGATCGGATTGGACCAAACCCGGTCCAATTGACACCCCTAAATTTAGCATGCAGAATATAAGATAATCTAATAACCGAGTCAAAGCTTTTGATAATGCAATTTACAAGTATTGTAGAAATTAGGTCTCTCATTTCAGATTTTTAATGTCCCACATCTAAGACACTGCAATTCGCATGAAGTTTTTCATTAAAAAAGAAAGAAAACAATAATTGCAAGAAAGGAATTAAGAATCCTTGATATCTACATCCACTTTTTATAGGCAACAAAGAGAGTTCGGATCTACTCCTCACAGAGTGCTCCTCACAGCATGTCCTGGCCGCACATTGAGAACATCTCCTGTACTTGTATTTATTATTCATGGGGAGATGTTCCAAATACATGGTGGGATGTGGCTGTGAGGTCGGTGTGAGGAGCAGATCCTAATTCCTACAAACATCTGGCATAAATTTCCTTTTGACAAGACTTTGGTAGGACAAACATTCACAACATGACTTTTTTTTTCTCCTAAAAAAGGGCTTCTGGAGCAATGTAAGTGTAAACAATAACTCTTTTTCTTAGTCGTTTCAAACTTGTCAACCCTCCCCTATGATTGCTATATAATCGGTTCGGTTGATACAGGAGGTTAGTAAACAGATGGGTTAAGAAGCAGAAACGGAGAATTACAATTGTAGTGCAAAATAAATGAGGTATAGCAGAAGTTATTGGATAAGGTTTCCTACACATACAAAGGGTTTCTAATTGGACTTAGAACAAACTCCTCTGAAAGTAATTTAATTTGATTATAGTTTTTTAACCAATAAGAGGATTTACAGGATCTGAATAGGCTCCACCCCCAATCCAAAACCCAACAGGCTCAACCAAGATCTGAGATCATCAACCCCTACTGATTTCTAATATGAGTCTAGTCCTGGTAAACATTTTGTTGTTTAGACATTTTTTTCGGTTAAAATTTTTGTTGTTTAGACTTGGATATATGGTTGACTAATGTCCATAGATGTACATGGAGTTCAAACAAAGAGTTGTAGGATCAGGCCAAGTGCTTCATTTGCTTAACGAGATTGTTAAAATTCCAAGGATTTTATGAAGTGGTTCACAAGTCATCATCACAATGATTAAATTGTTTAACCTGGTTTCTCCAACTTCAAAAGCTCACATGTTATTTGGAACTCCAGGCCCTTGGCGTCTGTACTGTCATATTTGGAAGCAAGGTTTTTGGCTAATAGTATGAATACCCTATTTGGGTAGGTACAAAATCAGAAAATGCTCTCCTCGATTTACTTACTAGAGAGAGAGCCCATAGACAGGAGTTGTATTGGATGGTGAGACCTCTCAGGGCTAGGGATTGATTCAGTGATTCTTGTATTGGAGGACCTGTATGCTAATTGGCAGGGAGTAGCTAATAGGATGATTCTTTCATTTTTGCTATATTGGGAAGAATTGTACTCTTATGGTGTCTTTGTACTCGTTTCTTTTATTTCTAATAAAATTCTCCAATCAGTTACTGATCAGATGGGAATGTCATCTAGATTCAAAGGAAAAGCAGTAACACTTTCCTTTAGTAGTGTATGGTCGTGGCCCTTGTTTCTGCATGTGAATAATCTGAAAATATGAATGGTAAGGTTCTATAGGAGAATAAGTAGAGCTCATTTTTAACATAGGTCCCATGAAGGGAACATGTGTGGATGGAATTGTTGCATGCAAAAGTGAAATAATTTACCAACATATTACCAAAAAAGAAAAATTACCAACACATATTGTCTCTGAGAAAAAGGGGGCATTGCTTAGTGAAGTGATAAAATCTCAGGATTATGACTGATGAGAATAAGAAAGTGGGTTCAAGTCTAAGAATGACCACTTAATGTAGGGAGGAAAAAAAAACAATCTGCACCCAGCCTACCCCTCCCAACACCCCAAATTACTGGGAAAAACATTGGATAATACCTTTTTATCTCGTCTCTTAGAAAACTAGGAAGATCAACACCCTCAAAGTGAAATTTCTCTCACTTGTTTTACTTAAAGCCATATCTCCACTGAGACAGGAACATAAACCAAGTACACAAAATTGAATAGCATTTTACCTTATACCATATCAAGGGTTGATTCTTAGGCAAGTCAGAGAGTGAAACCCATTGTGAAGAACTTGCAGTAGAAAGACCTAATTCTTCACCTTTCAGTCCAATCTGCACTAAAAAAACTGAAGATAAGACCCTTCTCTGACCAGAATCTTAAAAAAAGAAAATCAATGTAAAGGCTGCAAGGCTACAGATACAAGCACAGTCCACATATTTTTATTTGCTGACATAGAACTCAAGAACAAATATGTATTTCTCCACAATCTCAAGTTAACAGCTAACTGCTAGCTGCTGTCAGACAAAATGTTTCCTTCAGATATTTGTGTGTGTGTGTGTGAATGTGTGTGTGAGAGAGAGAGAGACCTGATATGTCCACTGGCTTGATGATAGATCAACCGTAGTGCCATTTTTTGAACCTTTTAGCTTTACTGGACCAGTAATTCCAGCACCCCATTTGTCAAAGAATGCACCATAGTTCTTAAAAAAAAAGATAGAGTTTAAATTAGGCAATAGTTTTTCTTGAGTATTTATGCATGCCAATTTGTTCATCTAATAGCTGAAAAATCACTCAAAAAGGAACTAAAAAAAGAGTGTACACAACCATGGCCGTAAGGAAATTGAAATCCAATGCAGATATTATCCCTTCCCAAAATGAGAAGCCCATAGAATATCTCAATTAGGGAATGGTTCAAACCTGCAAACCCACTGTCAAGCTAAGGAGATCAATGGTATTCTTTCCTGGAATGAGTGTAATAGGTCTCTCCAAGGTAACCTTTGCATTGCCACTATTCCCTGATCCACTTCCTATAGATGGCACAATTAAAAAAAAATAATTATAAAGGTCACAGTTTTATAATCTCAAAATTTCAAGACCAAGGGCTAAATAACCTAAGCACAACAATGCTCTCATATACATATTGATTTAGGGAAACTTGATTGAAGCTGTCAATATCTTTTAATGTTACATGGTACAAAATAAAATGCTATTTTGAACTTTAATTTAATAATATCAAATCAGATTTTAAATTTTGAACTGTAATTCCTTTCCTGTTGGTTCTTAAACATGCTGGAAGTTTTTGTAGCTCTGCTTCTTCCTCTTTTCACAGTCATACCTTACATAATGAATCCTATTTCTTTGATAGGTAATAATAACAGTACCATTAGGAACTGCTATGTCACTTGATTAAAAAGACATCAAGAAAAATTTTTTCCTATTCTATAATGTCTCAATTAGGATACACAATATTATCTCTGGGTGGGAGTTTATAAAGTTGCTTTATTTCATTTGATCACTCATGCCTATTTGAAAGCCTTATTGTTTTCCTTCCATTGTTTTTTTTTTTTTTTTTTTGTTTCAAACCTTCTCTGTTTTTCCTCTATTGGCTAACGTTGTCTAGCCAAGAAATGTCATAAGGAATGTGAGCTTTCTGCCTTGAGGTCCATGCCACAACAGATCAAACTTAAAGTTTATTGCAATTCTATTTTCTGAGCATTAGCACAAGAAATGTCAGGTCAGTGATTGCATTAAATGTTCCAAACAAATATTTGTTCTTCATCTGAAAAGATGAGTTTGTAATCCTCCTTGGAAATTTTAAATAAAACAACAAAGTTCACCAAGAGCATGACAAATACAATATAGCATGACATGATCATTAGGCTCCTATAAGTAATTGTTATCTCACATTACCTGCAAACTTCCCATTTATAAAAACATGGACGGCATGGCCAAGTGATTCCACATGAATACGACTTTGATATCCATCTTGAAGGAACGGTTCATCTCCTTGAATTTCAGTACTTCAAGAAAAACGGGGAAAAGAAATTGCAATGTTGAACAAATCAAGTCCACTGATCTCAAGGGAAGAAAGAGCTTAAGGTGTTGAATGAAATCAAGATTCAAGAGATTGCTATACCTCAATGAATACCACAGGTAATCACTAACATCAGCTGTTGTATTTATTTGCTCGAGTAGCCCAAGTTTCATAAATGCATTGCTCCTTGAGATACCAACAGGCTCATTAAACCAACTCCAGCCGGACTGGAATGCTTCAGAAGAGTCAACAGTATCCTTTGAGGTCTGAGGTTCAAATCTTAAATTCATGGCTTGGGAGTTAATCTGTCACAGTACATTCATTTGTTTTCATTATTGTGTTCAAAATGATAAAAAAGATATTTACTATCACATATTTTCAATTTATTCTACATGATAATGCTTTTCCAACCACACACTTCTTAATGCATGAGAATGCTATCGAAATCATTTGGTGAGGAAAGGCAAAATACCATTTGGTGCCCTGCCCATGTGTTGATATGAAGGAGAGAAGCATAGAAATGAAATACCAGACATGTGAGTGTGTGCACATATTAACAAACCTTTGCAGTATTGAACACCACATTCTTGCAGTCTGGAAGGATGCTCACAGACCATGCAGGTAAAGTATATGAATTGCCATTGAAATTCACAGTTGCGGCAGATTGGGTACCCACGTTGGCAAGAAAAGCAGCACATACCCCTGATGTTTTATAAACATGAGCCTGAAACGAGAATAAATCCATTTCAAGCAGCCAAATAAAAAGAGCATTAGAAGATACTCCTCTATGATGAAAATAAGTAAGAGCATGTGGTTTAACTTTCAWATTTTAAAYTATTCWTTGTYGGTATTGGTATCTTATCTTATGCTTAAAATTCTAGTACTTTATCAACACCAGCATGTGAGAATCGAGGGACATAAGTAGATTTTTTATGACTCTGCATCCTCTGCTAGATATATGATGCAAACAGTGGATAACATATGCTGTGCAGAAATGTCATGAACTATAATGATCATAACACCAAAGTCTTTCCTTTTCATAATTAACTCTTTAATACATTCCTAATTGGACCTAAATTCCCACAAAAAAAAGTTTCCTTTTCTTGTGTGTGCTGGGAAGGGGTGGAGGGTGGGGGAGATAATCAGGCTTAAAGCAGATCCTGTCCAGAATATTACATTATAATCTGTCACAGATGTAATCAACAGTAATAATGACATCTTTGAGCTTAAGGGGAAAAGAAAGGACAAAAAAAAACTCTTTTATAGAATTGGCATAGAAGCAAGCCACTAAGTTGGTTCCATTCCAAATAGAGACAAAATTGCAAGTCTCAAAAAGTAGGACAGACTACTGAGGTGTCAATAAATTCTACATGTTTTTAGGTGAATGCTAGCAAAAGTGGAAGGCCCTTCATCCCTTATGGATCCAATCATAGAAGCAAAGGCCTTGTCTTCAAGTATGAACAGAATGTTCAGATGGACATTCAAATCAGCAAGAGATTACTTGATTTTTAGTTAGGGAAGGATTAGGGAAAGTTGACTTTGTTTGGAGGAGCACTGGACCCAAAGGCTCATATTTAATGTTTCAATGTACTAGTTATCTCTTGACTTGATTTGTTGGCTATGCAAGATGTATATCCTAGTCAATGTAATACCTCCAATGACAATATATAAGGAGAGAGATAGAACATAAAAAACCATCTACCATCTGATTCATATCTCAGAATACCAACAAAGTAATCAAATAAACTGAAAAAAAAAGACGAAGAAAATTCACCAGGCACCAAATATTCAAGGTTTATAAAGGGTCATTACCCAATGTTAGTACTGGCTATCTAGGGTCTTGGGAAGAGTAGGCTGGTATGAACCTACCCTCTGGCACATTTTTGCATAAAGTGGCTGCTCTCATAGCCAAATCTGCTTTCTTATGCTTGCCATTTTCCATCCCAATATTTTACCATTACTCTAAGCAATGGCCCCTAGGCACCATATATTCAAGGTTTGACCTTAATAAACCTAGTTGTATTTTCCAGGTGAAAATTATACAGAAATGCAACTTAAATCTAATCAATTTAGGTGAGCAGAATATTAGATCTTGTGATTAATGTTAACCTGTTATTGTCTTACTCAAAATATAGATAAAGAGAAATTCTACCTGGATCGACTGGATGACCTATTGATGGAATTATGGAGAAAACTGCATGCTTGTATGCCAAGTATTTAAAACACAAAACATCTCATCCAGAGGCTATCTTATTTATTTTTTGTTTCTAATTTCTTCCATACAAGAAAAAAGAGATATCTTCTAAGAGGACTCGAGATTAATTTTACTTGCCAACCAAATAATAGAAATCTATGCATAACCAGCTTGGCTATCTATACCTTGAAATTACTCAAGATAGTTATACTTTTTAGTAATAATTAAGAAGTTAATAAGGGCTATACCTCCAAATTTGGACCAAGAGAAGTGAATGTTGGATCAGTGGCTATTAGTGCTTCTTCACAAAGTTTAATGGCCTTGTGCAAGTCTTTTAGGTGGCCCCACTTTGGCTGTCTAACCAATCCTGCAGTACAGACAAGAAAAAAGAGAGAGAAAGTCTTTTAGAAAATATGTCATCTTATAGATATTATATCAGTAGACACTTAAATATTGCTATATCACTGTTTTCACAGAGAATAACCTAAAGTGTACCATCTCAGAGCCACAACATGTAGGAATTCCAATTCATGAACATATAACAAGCTTACCATATTCATCAATTGGAGCATCATAATCATAACTAGTTGCAATGAAGGGTCCACCAGTAGTTCGACCAAAATTGGTCCCACCATGGTACTATGCAAGAAAAAGAAACAAATATTGGTACAAAAAGTATCAGTCCATAAATTCTTCTCGGTTCAAAATTCTAAGTTCATAATAAGTCAAGTAGTTCTCAAGGAAACTTTTGTGAAGGTATAAATTTTCAATGTGTACCATATAGTAATTCTGAAATGTTCCACCTCGTTGGAAGAATCGTGCAACAGCAAATGCAAGGTCCTCTACTGGTCTGTATGGCACAGAACCACCAAAGGAAAGAAACCTAACATTGTAAATAATTTCATGTGAAGAAAGGGAAAATGATCATAGCAGAACCAACTGTTATTTAAATTAAATAACTGGCTCAACTAAGGAAAATATTGTTAGAATCTAGAAGCGAACACCTTACCACCCACTCCAGTTTTCAGTCCACATCTTAGGTTTCTTTGCAGAATTTGGAGTGAACTGATCACAATAAAATCCATTGCAAGTATTTATCTGTAAAATTTTAATTGAATTGTTAATATTGGCCGGGAAAAACAATTGTAACATAAAGGAAGCAAAAGGAACTCCACTTCATTGCTAAAAAGTATTCAGGAAATTAAAGCAATATAAAAAAGTTGCAGAAAATGGATTCATCTTAGCACCTAGGAAACGAGTCTGACATATAATTTAATTTTACATTGATATACTACAGTTTTGTATTGAAAGAATAGAAATTCAACTTACGATTGGATCAGGAGCATCTGCTTGCTGGCACATTACCCAGGGCACTCCTGTATCTAATGATGTAGCCATCCCCGCTGCCCAGTTGATATAAGATTTAGCAGCTGAACCATAGGCAGAATCAATGTTTCCGTACTCATTTTCAATCTACAATTGAACAGAACCATTAAGGTTGAAGACTAAACTTTGTCAACCAGAAAGTATGGGCGGAAGGTCCACAAAATACCAGGACGCCAATGTAGAAGTAACTCCCATAATATAAGCTTTGTCCAAATACAAACTAATATCAATCAGATACAAGGGGGAAAAATGAATAGAAGGCAACCTGTGACAATATGATGGGTCCGCCTTGGGAAGCATAGAGTTGTTCTTGTTTCATCATATCTACAATTTTAGTTGTGAAACGCTGCATTTCCATCTGTAATAGAGCAACCAAAAGTGAATAAATCACACAAATGCAAACTGAGCAGGGGAAGGCGGAAATTAAAACCTTGAATGGCTCGTTGTCAGTCCTGAACTCAATTCCCGGGATGAAATGCAACCACAGTGGGAAACCTCTGTACCGGCATCAAAGCATAACAAACCCCCATTTCTTTAGAGCATAAAGAAATTAAAAGAAATTTTAAAAAATAATCATCATTATGTGATATTATAGCGGAAAATGTGAAGAAAAGCAAATAGTATAAATTCTAACCCGTAGTTCCATTCTGCACAGACGTAAGGGCCAATTCTTAGATGAACATAGAGACCAGCTTCTGCAACTGTCTTCACAAACTTGACCAAATCTTTTCTACCTTCGAAATCGTACTGAAGTCGAGAAACTAAGGTCATTACTACTACTGCTACTACTATTTGGTTTAATAATTTTCATATCAAGAAACGAATTAGGAACTAAAGAGAATTAAAAGAAACCGAAACCAGGAAATGCACACAAAAAAAAAAAAAAAAATCGGATATGAAGAGGAGAAGCGGTTACCTGGTTCCGAACGGGTTCGTGTAAGTTCCAGAAAACATAGGTCTCAATGACATCCAAACCTCCCTCTTTGGACTTCTGAATAAGGTCTGGCCACATCTGCACAGAGTTGCTTCGTTATAGACAGAGCAATAAGAGAAGATGAATTCACTTGAGGCCAGGTGAGGACATTCTGGAACTTAAATTCTGTCTACCATGCCATGTTATAAGCAGAGCAGAGAAGAGAAGTAACAGACATTCTCTGCCAATGTTAGCTTACCTCGGGAGTGCTGCGCGGGTAATGTATGGAGCCGGAAATCAAGACTCGACGCTTGCCATCGATGAGCAACGTCCGGTGATCGTACGAGACGTCATAGCCGAGAACCAACGCCGACAGACCGGCGAGCACAGTAAAAAGAAAAACAAGAAACGCCAGCCACCTCATGGCGCACCTTCTGTTTAGGTTTTAGTCTTCTTTAATGGAGCTTTCTTCTGGTTTTTCGCAGCTCTGTAACGTCATTAAGAAGAAGAAGAAGAATGAGAATTAGTGGTGGTAGAAGGCAATATATATATGTAAAAGCGTTTAGTTGGCTTGGTTGATGTTCCAGAATGGATACCTTTGTCTTGCTTGGTCGCTTTGTAGAAGGAAGGAAGGATCAGAAGAAAGAGAGCTCTCTCTCTCTATATAGATAAATGTGGGTGGTAGCTATCCTACGCCCGGAGAGTAGTAGTACACGCTACCTCTTACCTTTGCCTCCCGCTTGGGTGAAGAAGAGAGAAGAACGTATCACGTGTCGTCTACTACTTCATTTTGTCTTCTTCCTTCCCATTTCCATTTGTGCAGTTGATATTTGTTATTGCTATCTATGCTTCTGCTTCTGCATTTATCCATTCCTATCCTTTTCCTGTCTCCCTCCCTCCTCTACTCAATACTCCCACCCAAGCAAAACTTCGTGGTTTATCGACCTCAGCACTCAGCAGTCAGCCGAGGGATCGATGGACAACAGGAGAACCTCTTTCTCTTCCTGACTTTTTTTTCTTCTTTCTTTTTGATTTTTTCAAGGGACTATTAACAGTAAAATTGTAAAAACGTGAAAGGTGAGAGAGAGAGAGAGAGACGGTGACATGGACACAGACAGGATCACGCACGTCGGACGATTCTCGGGTTTCGGTTGCCTTTATATCAACTTTATTTGAGAGTTCTTGATCCGCGTATCCTAAAAGACACATTGGTCGTTGTTGCTGACAAACCTGGCGCCTGTCGCTGTAATGTAATGTAATGTAATGTAGGGAAAATCTATGTAATGTATGTAACACTTACATGCGAGAAGAGAGGACGAGCATTTCTCGCATGCTCCCATCAGCACCATCGGCATCGAGTGAATTTCTCCGAAATTAGAATCCACCCTGCATTCAACAGTCCTGATTAACTGCGCTTGATATGTTTTAACCAATTCCAATAGTAATAATAATAACGCCACACTTCAGCCATCAATATTCAATTGTAGATGCCCCGGCCCCACAACCACAGCCATTTGATTTGCCCCTTGCGGGAAGCGACTCTTAATTAGAGCCGGAAATGTGGGGGCATTACCAAAAAAGAAAAAAAAAAATAGCCGTTTGATCAGGATCTTATCCCTGTGCTGTTTTAAAGAGACTGCATCACTACACGACGACGGTCAACACAGAGTAGAAGTTGCGATAGCCGTCGCCGACAGGGCAATTTTTGGCTTGGCCGAGTTTTATTATTATCATCAACGGACAACGGACTACGGTGGGAGGGAGCAATTCCATATTCCAAGGAGAGGACATGTGGCAAGTCATGATCATGATGGGTATTTTTATATTTTTATTTTGATAAACAATCATGATGGGTGGTATTAGATGGTTTCTCAAATATAATTATAGATAAGATAAAATCATAAATACGAGGGTCGAGGGATTGAGGGGAATCAGGAGCATGACTGCATGAGCATGGTCACATGGTCCACAACTCCACATACTCCATTCCAGAATGAGTGAAGGAATGACCTCACCTCAGTCTCCTCCAATGTCCAGTTAGGGAGGGAAGGGTGATGCTCATGCACTGATGCACGCACCGGAATTAGCATTTTAGGTAGATGGAATATTATTAACCTATAATGTCCTTATCAATAGCTGTCCTGTCCACAGTCCATGTGACTTGAAGGGCCAAAGCCAAAGTGGTGGAATGACCGGATGAGGATGGATGACAGGATGACTCCCCTTTATTGACCTCCTCCCTTCCCTTAAATCCTTAATGTTTTGCCTGTTTGGGGTAGGTTTGTATCCATCGACTATTTTAAACACTAAAAGAGGAGGAGTTGGAGGACTCACCAAAACCAAATCCTGGTGAATCTTGGTGGAAGTGGAACGGTTGATCCACACTCACTCACTCCTAATACCACTAATTAGTGCTCGATCCTTTGATTTTTATCTCCTCCTCCACTCCAGTCCTCCATCACACGTTCACACTCACACCTTTTCCCTCCTCGGTACAATCATTAATTTATAAGGCTTAATTTCCGGGCAACTTCTTTCCCTGGCTTCTACAATTAAAGCGGTTGCAGTTGAACCATAATTAATAAGTTTTAATTACAAGGGCCCCTACAACTCCAGAAATAAGCTACCACATAAGTCATTCCTCTTCCTCAACAAAATTAAGTTACAAAGCAATAACCAACCCAACCCAACCTCAACTAAAGCTAAGCTAATGTTTAACCCCTTTAAATATCAGTTGAGCATTACAATATTTCTCTTTGTATTGTGGATATTTAGAGTGCCGATTTGTTCAGGCTTTTGTCTGTGTGTGTTCCAATATGATGATACTTAAAACAGTTCTTGGGCCTACCATGTATGGCATTTTGCATCATCAATAACGGATGAGGAACCTACCGACCCACCGAGCACCGACACCCAACACCAATCGCAAAAATGATGACAGAGAAAGGTCAACGGCTGTGATTATCTGACAAATCAAACATGTAAGAACAGATATATTTTCTGGCTCCACCTAAATGAGAAATAATGAGACCGAATCAGCCCCCACAATGTCCCACAGCACATCCCCACTGTGTATTGGAAACATTTCCCGATCATGATATTATCATTTCGGATATTATTATCAGGAGATGTTTCCAATGCACGACGGAGATGTGCTTTGAAACATTGTGGGGGCTGATTTGAACTCGTAAATAATGGTCCAATAACCAAACTGTGCTTCGGATTCAATCCGAGGCTCTACTGGTAGAGAAGATAATTCATTATATAACAAAAGTTATTTAAACCTAACAGTCCAATCCTCCTCCTCGTAATTGTCTCTAATTTACCTTCATTCTAGCTAGGGAAAACAATTTCTACTTACAATATTCTTTTGGTACCAATTTCTGCTTACAATTACGCTGTGTTTGATTTGAAGAGATTAAAGGTAGGGAAGTATTGGTTTCCCTACCTTTCCCTTCAAACCAAACATAGCCTAAAAGGTTAAGTCTAATTCTTAGCAACAGGGAGAGAAAGAACTTGAGCTTCAATTTGTTTTCCAATTGCACCGTGACTTTTGTTTATTTATTTGTGAAGAGCAAAATAGGAAGAGAAACTATGTAATCCCCACCTTATAGGGAACAGAATGGGAATTTGTATCCTCCCCACAGAATCTTCTTTACACCCATATCACAGCAATTGCAGTCGCATTGGGAACATCTCCCTGTGAATGAAAGCATGAAGTATGAGAGATGTTTCTTGATGTGTAGATGCAATGTGCTGTGAGGTGGGTGTGAGGAGGAAATCTGAATTGATCAGTTTAAGGTAGGAGAAGGGTTATTTGTTTGGTGGTGAGGCAGGAAGCAAGATAACGTGGCCTCCGTTTTAAACAAGAGACTTAATGAATGAGGAAGGTGATGCAAATTTTGCATCAGCTAGTTTTTTAGATGCGAAATTTTCACTCTCAATGAATGCAAATGAGAAAGAAAAAGAAATTTTTTTTTGCATCAAATAAGAATGCAAATCATAATTGCTAACAGACGAATGTAAGCGCGAACCAGATGCAATATTCATATTCGGTTCAGATTTGAAACACAAATAAACAAATCCTAGGGCTCCATTTGGTAAGAGTGACAAAGGTGAAAATACAAATATGTTATTTCTAAACCTTATATATTTGCACTGTACATATTTGTATTTCCACTCTTCCCAAACCAACCTAAAGAAACATTTTGCTATTTTGTTTGAAATAACACAAAATGCGTTTGTTATATATAGGACTTCGGCATAACGAAAACCAAGTACAAAGAGTTTCCTTGCACTATTCTTAGATGGCATAAGAAATTAAAAACATACATATTTTTTTTTTTTTTTTATAATTTCCCACCTTTCTACATACTCTCCACAAAACCCCTTTACCTAATATTCCATAGTCTATCTTTGTCGCAACTGGGAAATCTATATTCAAGTTTAAAAACACAAAAAGAAAAGAAAAAAAAAAGAAGAAAGAAAGAAAGAAAGAACACCTCTATCCCTTAATAAATTATAATCTCTCTCTATCTCATGTCATTTTATAATAAAAAGGGCATGCCCTAATTACTAATAAAAATATTTTCTTTTTGAATTAATTTTATCATTAGTAGTAAATGTGTTTGTGCATTGTAGGTGATAAATTCAAATGATGATGATGATGATAATACTAAAATTTGAGTGCTTTTATTAGAACTTATGTGAGAAAGACAAGTAATCAAAACATAGTGTGTTGATGAATTTGTTGCCCTTCAACCTAAAGACCTAGCTCCAAATCTTTTACTTGGTTTATATCAATGTTTTCAACTTGTTATTCAATTGGCCAATCGGATTGATTGACCTGCCACTTGGACAACTTTCTAAGTATGTTTCAACCCAAACCACTTTGTTGCAAAAAAACCATTGATTTTGAAAACAACCAAATGCTCTTATTGGTTGAATCTTTGACCTATTTGACCAAGTCAATGGGCCATAGGTATAATATTAATTCTCACTTTTATTTTTTATTGTATTTTAGCTATTTTCATCTTTAGCAGCAATAATTCTTATTTTTCAAATATTTTCTATTTAATATGAAGAAAATATAATATTAAAGACATGCTAAATTTTCTATAAATTTTACAAAATCTGATATATTTTTTTTATTATTTAACTTTTTGGCATCACAAAATTGACTTGTTTGATTGGGAGGGAATGAAATTCCAATTAATTTATAGAATTTTGGCTTTTATCCTATGGTCAAATTAATTGGTTAGACCAATTGGCCCATTACTTAACCAAAATTTTGGATCCATTTACCATCAAACTACTTGCCTATAAAAACCATTAACTTGGTTAACAACATGGTTAAATAACTAATTGAACCATTTGACCCACATGGGGTCAAGGGCTAGATATTAATTCTATTTTCCCCTAATTTTTTTATTTCATTTTCATTATTAATAAAAACAATTCTTATTAAACACACTTATTTTCTAATGTAACAAATATAATGTGCTCATTTTTTTTTTACAAATTTCTATATTTTGTAGAACTTTATGCATTTTAATTATTTAATTATCATATCATGGGCTAACCCATTTAACTTGGACAGTGAAACCACTAGTCCACTACTTAGATGAAAAAAAACCGTTTTTGCTTCTAGGTTGATTTCAAATTCTGTATTCTATTTTCGTTATTAACAAAACATAATTCTTATTTTCATGCATATTTTTGTTTAATATGATGAATATATAATATTAGAGATGTGTACTAATGTTTTCTACAAAATTCTTGTATATTTTGTGTTTCTTTCTTTTTTTAAAAAAAAAAATCTTATTACTTAGTTATAACATCATGAGTTAACCCTTTTACCCCAGAAGATTGGACTATTGATTAGCCACCTAAATACAAAAATGATTTTGTTTTTGGATTGGTTTTAAATATATCATTAATAGAAAGAAATTTGGCTTACTATGATTAATAATATAATATTAGAGATGTGCCCAAAATTGTTTTATAATTTTTTGTACATTTCTATTTTAAAAATTTTATTTTTTGATTATGAAATCATGACTCAACCCATTTGACCTAAATGGTCACTTACCCACCACCTAATGAAATTTAATGTTGAGAAACAAATACATTTTAAATATAGGAAGAAATGAGAGAGAATGGGAGTTAATATCTTAAAAATGAGACTTAATAAGAAAGAATTAAATGAGTTGAATAATAACACTTGAATTACATTTTCTGTCTTCACATTTTAGTCAAGGAACAGTCCAAAAATCTAAGACCTAATTCATGAGAGAGAATGGGAGTTTCCACGTTGCATTTGCCTTCATAGACTAGTAGTATAAGTATAAAACTAATGTCTTCTAAGCCATCTAACCTCCTGTTTGGGAATGCTTTATAAGTGCTTTTTCAGGAAAAAAAAAAGCACATTTTGAATCAGCTCAAAGTTTTGCCTCTTTTAGACTATTAGTATAAGTATAAAACTAATGTCCTCTAAGCCATCTAACCCCCTGTTTGGGAGTGCTTATAAGTGCTTTTTCAGGGAAAAAAAAACACATTTTGAATCAATTCAAATTTTGCCTCTTTTCTTTTTTTTTCAAAAACACTTAATTGCATTTCTGGCCCATCTTGACCCATCATGTAATTTTCAAAATACCTATATAACCCTCATTTGAAAGAAGCACTTTTTTTAATCAAATACTCATAAGCGCTTATTAGAATAAGCACTCCAAAACAGCAGCTAAAAAATGGCACAGGGACATACAAAATGAAGCCAATCTTTTTGAACTAAATTTCAAAAACAATTAATTGTTTTCGATGACAACAGGCTTCAATCTCTGTTTAGTGGGTTAGAACAACGACCCCAAATGGATCATTATTAGATCAACATAGTGTCCACAGTCCACATGACCTCTTTCGATTTCGATGTGGCATGCCAAGTGCCTCATTTTTTAAAGCCTTCTTTAATTTTAATAGAAGAAAGCAAAAGCCAAAAATAATAAATTGATGGGCTATTAACCAACCATATATCAATAAAATGAAATGGAAAAAAATGATGCAGGAAGAAACTTGTCACGTGAATACCCAGAACCATATAGGCTGCTGCCATCAGAATTCATCACACAGCCCAAATGTACATCCTAAAATTCTTACCAGAAAAAAAAAATAAAAAGATGGGTTTTTTGTAATGCAATACATATGTGCTAAATGTTTTAGCAGCCAAAGTTCAGATGGTTTCAGTGGCATGGTCCACAGGCAGCTTATTCTGTTAACACACTGGAGAAGGGGGATCCCCATGGACCACGCCATTGAACAGCGAATATCTGAATTTAAATGAAAGAATTGGAGATTTGCATTTAGTGAACATTATTTCCGAAAAATGTGAAAAAAAAGGTCCAATTAAGTGGCAGAGAAAATGAAGCCCGGGTAGGCTGGAGACAAAATCATACACACCGGGCTGGGTTACATAATACCTAATACAAATGAGGGCCCACATTGAACACAGGCGTGTTCAATTGTGATAAGTAGCCCGGCCCAGTGTGTAGTATTTTTGTCTTCAGCTCATACGGACTGGAGAAAAATGGCAACGGCAAACCAAATCAACTTTTTTGTTTCTTTATTTTGGCAATGGCAGCAACTCTTTCATTTCACACTGTCATGATGGATCCTACTCTGAATGGCTCAGAGTTTCCTCTACATACATCTACATGCACCTTGGGTAGGAATGAAGCAAACATACAAAACCCAGATTTGGGCATAAAATTAGCCTCGAACAATTTGGTATTGTCAACAAAGCCGACAACACGAGCCCCTGTATAAGAGAGCCAGGTACAATCATGAATCATGTTAAGGATAATAAATTACTTAGGAGGCAAATGTTGAAAAGGCTGAAAATTTTGACAACACAACTCCGACAAAAAAGATCATCTAATGGCCATATTAACGGCTCTATCCGCCATATGAAAAGACCAAAGATGATGCCCCGCGTACCGTGTAGCTAAGAGTTCTTCCAACATGGCAGCATTCCCACCAAAATAAAAAAAGCAAAAGCAAATACACTCTGAATGTACTTTCAATAAAACAAATGAACATGGTTTGGTGAAAACCATTCTGATATCAATGTATCTTGCTGATATGCAAGAGCAATTTCCGTTATTCCTTTCAGTCGTCAGAAATATTGTAGTGGCAGATGGCCATTTCGTATAACCTGTGCATGTTTGCTTACATCCTTGCTGCTCCCCCTTCCTCTCACTGCTATAACTGGCAATTTATCCCTACCAATATACAAGGGAACCCATTGGTAATCTCGTTGCAAGGACATTGAGTAATGGACCCAATGACTTGATAAACTTACAACGTACTCAATCCTGGGAACCCATCAGATGGAAACACCTCAAATACAGTCAGATTAGCAAATGGAGATGAAACCCTGCAACAAAAAATAAAGAACTACCAACCAGGCCTGACAATGGACTTCTAATTGGCTATTGCTTATAACTGGAACTGCCAACCTTGCCTGATAATAGTGGCTTCTCCTTTGAACTGGAACTTAAAAGAGTCTCTGAACTGCTTGATTGGTTTTCAGCATTTCCAGGCCTTATCCATATTTTCACATGCCCTTCCCGGCACACAGTAAGAACTGACTCTTGAGTGAATATCAAGCCAGAGAGGGGTTCTGCATGCACGCGGTGAGCAACTAGAGGTGAAATCTTTGGCACATCTCTCATGCTTGGAGCTGGTTGGAGAGTACCCACTTGGCAAATGCTGTCCCAATGAGAGGACTGGCTTCCCGTGCTATATGTGGGGGATCCACCAGGAGGGCATCTTCGCAGGGGCACCACAATTTCATCCATTATCAAATCCCACAAAAGCAATTGTGTATCCTGCACTCAAACATGGGTTGCAAGAAAAATGGATAATAATATATTACTAAATCTAATAATTTCCAAAAGCCAATTAAGAAACAGAAAACTAATAGTAGAGCGGGATAAGCATCATCAAACAAAACACAAGGAAAATCCTCTTAAAGGACAGAACTATTCTATTCCAGATCAATCCTTAGATAAGCAATCCATGGCCATCGACAGTATATTATAGTAAGTAATAAACTAATAATAACATTTTTTATAGATAGTAATTATAACAAGGAGATAACATTAAAAAAAAAAGCTGCATAAAAGTAATGCAAAAAGATTTTTTCAAAAAAAAAAGATAGGAAATAAGCAAAACCAAATGAGGCCGAAGAGGCCTTCCAGTACAATGCATTACTGCCTGAGAACAAACTCAATTTACCACTAAATTGCCTTAAAATCATAAAAGAAAAAGAAACTACTATCCAATGTCAGGATCATTTATTTAAAAAAAAAAATCCATTTTCTCCCAATCATAGACCAAATCTCAACCTAGAATATACCCTCCCAATGAACAAACCAAATTAGATGATCAGATCCCAGTTAAGCTTTGTAGAGATGCATAACAGGATATCTGGTTGTATTTGGTTTCTTCAAGGCAAGGTGTTCATTAGATATACTAGGTTGAAGACCATGTCTAGTTTATGTTCATGTTTATTATTGGTGTTGGGAAAGGATTATCTATTAGAGGCAATTGGATCTGAATATTATTAGGGGGTACAACCCACAACAGAATTCTATTGATTCTAAAAATTTTCTTTTAAATGGCAGTTTTTTCTTCCCTGACAAGACTATCTGAATATGAAAGCAAGTCAAGTATGAAGTCTAAAATGGGTGGTTAGGGCCCACTAACTGCTACCATTCTTAAAGTTTTCTATAAATTTTTTCTTCATTTTCTTTCACTTTCATATACTCTCTTCACAACTAAACAGATTTGTTTGGTTTTCTTTTTGTACAAAGTGTGGATACAAGAGGTATGGTTCAAAGATTCTCATATCTTATATTTTCTCACAATGGTGGAACTTTGATGCAATCTTTTGTGGATGAAGGCTACCAAGGCACACCACATTAATCTTCCTTTTACTGTCTTATTTCTCTTTTCCTGTTTATTATTTCATCTCTATAGGTTGACAGACATGTTGATCATTTTGCACATCAGTCAAAAGACGAAAATTGGTTCTTGGACAGCTTTGAAAGTCCATCCAATGACTGGAAAAAAAGGATTACAGAATAAGTTGACTAGCTCAAGAATACATGGACCAGGATAACCTTAACCTATGGAATCATCTTTTAGTCACAAAATGAATATTGCTTAATTAAATAGTTGGAAATGAAGATAACTTTGATAACCTGTTCTGCTTCATCTTTTAATCACTAAATAAGTAGTTTACATATTCTGCACCTAAGTTTCCAAATGAAATTACAAGCTATGGTGACCTGTTCTGCAACGCAGCATTGCAGGTCTTGGTTTTATATCAAGTAAGCATGTAACCCTTGCCTCTCCGAAAATAAAATAAAAGAGAGTAGAAATCAAGAATTGAAGCAATTAGATAACAATACAAAATTGACCATACATTCCCAAGTGCACAGGTTGGAATAAAATAATACCATGAACATCACATATAAGGATCAAAGTTTTTTTGGGGGGTAATAGATGACAACTAAATTTACCATCTAATAAATTGAAAGGAAATAAATAAAAATTCATCCCATGGAAATTTTACATACTTGACCAACAGAACCAAACCGGTACATAACATTTTCCCCTGAGCCATCATTATTGGGTGATGACCAATATGAGTCAAAAGCAACTCCACTGACCTGCCAGTCACCCAGTCTAAAATCTGTAAGATTGCTGATGGCAGTGCAAAAGAAACCATAACAAGAACAATACTAGCAACTTACCCAAGAGCTGTGCCCCTCACCCCATGCTACTACCTTCCGATCTTCCATACTCCAAACTTGTACTAGATCATCTTCGCCTCCAGTCAAAATGTATTTCCCATCCATGCTGACAAACAGCATGCTGATGTCAGTTGCTATTATCTTTGCAAAGGCTCTAGAAGTTGTCAAGCAAGGGGAGGATAAACTAGGGAAAACTCAATTCATAAAAATATTAAAAGCAAGAGTCAGAGAAAAATAATCGATTGAACAACCAATAATCTCCTAAAGTATGGAAACTTATGCAACTTTGCTACCTCCATGCACAACATAGTAGAGCACCATAGTAGCTTTTCCCACCGCATATCAGCTGTTCTCTAGAGTAGTCAAAGACTCTTAAGTAACCTGCATGTGATATTTGATCTCAGCATGTCTGGATTATTAACATTTCATTAAAATTCAACACGAAAAGGTACCATTGCAATCTAAAGATTATCAGACAAACACAATACCATCTCTTCCAACAGTTGCCAAATATGTTCCATCTGTTGAGAAAGCAATGCTATTGATTGAACCTTGACAAATGTGCCATCTAGCAACTGGATTACTCTGTAAGTAATAAAAAAGGGTCAACAACCATAAGGTAGGAAGCTCTCCTATTTGAATCACATATTCTCCAACTGAGAGAAACATCTAATTTTCAGAAATAGAAAGTCCACATACACACACACACACTGATAATCACTGACAAACAAAATATGTTTTAGCATAATGCAAAATTGATCAACTATTTTAGAGCCCTCAGGCCAAAACTTGAGTTGGTAACCTCTAAACTTAAAACAAGTTGCCTTTTATAAGATAAACATAGTGGCTTTGACTGGATCAAAGAATATAATACTAGATGTCATGTCTAAGATCACCATCTAGGGATTTGGGTTTAGGATTTTCAATTTTGAGATCAAGAAATATTTATGAAGGAATTTTCTAGTGACAACCAAAGGACGAACATTGAAAGCATTAATAGATAGATGAAGTGGATAAAAGAAATTAAGGTCAAAGGTTTAAGACTATTTTAAGAATAAGATCAGGGAACCAAGAAATCCTAGAGCACAAATAAAATGTGGCATAGTTAGTTACTATAAATAAATAAATAAATACAGCATATTAAGGAATGTAATAAGTTATCTGCAGTGCCATTTGCAGAGATCATGATTTGCTCCAGGGTCTCAGACTCTCAAAGTTGCTTCATATAAGGGCTTCAACTCCTCGAGAGATTGCTTGTGGAAAGAGACCTAGTAGTAGATTCCAGTTGGTTTGTGCAAAAAAGTGTCAAAGGTTAGGACTGTGTCCTGTACTCCTGTCCACCCCTCCCAACATCTGAGAGAGCTTGGACCAACATTGGTCCTTGTGACCTTGTGGCCTATAATTGCCCAATATCAAATGAGTTTGCCTTAATAAAACCTGTGAGAACTACATAACATACTCAAGAATAAACAACATAGCTGCTCCCAATAATAACCATATCCATACACAAACTAAATATAATGCTGATTATGCAGTCATAACCATTAATGGCTTCTCAAATGTGTATAGTTATTGCAATGTATTATTCTTGTCCCCTCCACAGATTACTTTCTGATATAAAAAAGAAACTAGGACAGCATCTAACATAAAATGAGCATCATAAGTCAGCAGTTTTAGAATGCCAGTAATCTATTTAATGATATTATTTGTCAAAGGACTGGGTGGTAATAGTCATATACATCACTAACATCCTCGGTCCTCCCATTTACACTCTTTGCTTTCAGCAAAATACAAGCTCCTTACCTTCTAAATGATTAATATCAAAATTACCTTGCTAGATCGGGCATGTGCAACTGAAAATTGTGTTTGATCCTTGATAACAGGGAATGAAGAGTCACCAGTGCCATCCTTGTTCTACAACAAATAAATACCATTTAAGCTCCAAAATGTCAAAAGCACATGGACTTTAAGCATGAATTAGTTGAGGCTTAAGGCGTTACCTTTTCATACACATACAAGTTTCCATCAGCATGAGCTACAACAAAAGCTCCATCACCATTAGGTACCCATGCAATACTAGTACATCGACTGTTGAAAACGACTAGCAGTTAAAACCAAATTGAAAACCATAGACAAGTCAAGGTATTTAAAAGCTTTTCATATCATAAACAATATCAACAGGACTAAAAATTCTTCTGTATTGAACCAATCTCTCCCAAAAACTAAATTTGTTTTTATATTCTATGATAATAAACTATTATTAGTACAAAAGCAGCAATAAAACACATGACAATATATAAAGAAGTAATCAAAGAAGCAAACTTATAAAAAAGAGCATACCTAGGTTGAGACGCAAGGCAACCTAGGTGCACACCTTCTGAAAGGGGCATCACTTGCATTCGAGCTAGGTGCATGACTTAAAAAATGTGCCTTACCCATGCACTTAGGTGTGCCTAGCACAAGGAGACCTAGGTGAAAACCTTTTGAAAGGGGCACCACTTGCGTTCAAGCTAGGTACATGTCTACATGACTTAAAAATGTGCCTTACCTGTGCGCTTAGGCATGCCTGAGGCACACTTTTTAAGAGACTATGATTCACCAAAATATAAAAAAGCACCTATGGTAAGAAACATCTATAACTCCCTTCTACATTTCCACCAATATTTCTTATAAGACATTCCATTTGGAATTAGAGCACAGGGCAATAAAAAGATGCTCAACATCCTATTAAATAAGCATAAGGTTCAGACTTCAGAGTACCGATACACCTCTGTGTATCAGTACTTTAAGTGATGTGCCTTTTATTTATTTTAGTTTTTTCATTTCAGTTTTAAGTATAATTTTATATATATTATTTAATTAAAAAAGGGGTTCCTGACATCTAGAAAAAAAGGTTCCCGGAAACACCTGTAAACAAGTGTGCCGGGCACTCAAAGGTACAATATGAAACATCCAATACAGGGTGTATCGTATTGATACTTTAAACCTTGATTAAGCAACCACAAACCCTCTCTAAAGACAGTAAAGTATTGTACTGAAGGGAGAAAATGTATGACCCAGCCCCTGTACAACAAAGATACTATGCTATGGGCAATAATCAAAATATACATCTTCCATTTGTACATTAATTACAAAAAAAGGAGTTTCTATCAAAAAAAAAAAATCAGTTGTGAACGACCACAAGCTTTGCTTAACCATTTCACAACATAATTCCAAACACCATTTCAGTTTCCTAGCACCTCACCAAGAATTCATACTATCTCCCCTATCTGAAAGATTTGTAGTTGATGTAGCACAAGCCATAGGAAAGGAAGCACATTCAGGCCCCAAATATAAAAACAGTTCTTGTCTCACTAAAACAAATGTAAGTGGATTTTACGACATTCACAAGCTAATGCTTGGGGTAACTTATTGCAGTTTAGCTTGCCATTGTAATTTTCCCACTCCGAGTTTGCTTGTTTTAACCTCCAAACTTGAGTTTTAAACTTCTAATAAGCTTTAAGGGCTAGTGCTAATCTCATGCTGACAAGCAAGAGGATATACCAACAACTGCTTTTCTGGTATGGACGCAGCAGTAGGCAAATCTTTGACAAAGGATAAACTAATGGGTAGAGGCCTATCTATCCAGGACCCAATATGTGCTTTGTGTAACCAGGGTCCGGAGACAGTTGATCACTTGTTCATGCACTGCCAGATCACCTACAAGATCTAGTTCCGTTTCTTCAAAGCAGTGTGCTTGAGGTGGACAATGCCCAGATCAATATTAGATCTCTTGAATGCTTGGCTTTGATACCTGAATATCTGTACAACTATCTGTACAACAGTGCCATGTCTTGTTGGATACTCCAAGTTTTAGTGTAAATTTCATATTCAATACTGCATCTTGCCGTGTCCTTGCCATACCCATCCAGGTAACATAGACATTCAGTGCTTGAAAGGTCTCAGTAGCAGATGAAAGATTGTTACGACATTTATTTGAACTACAGTTAAACGGTCAATTGGACAGAAATATGAGGTTTTTCAAAAATAAGAGTTCGAGTGAGGAGGAGATTATAAGTCAAGATGTTGGAAGGATTGGATTGTGGATATTTGTAGAAAAAGAGTTCACACTTCACACTAGTATCACCACCATGAGTTCTTAAATGAACAAAAGTTTGTTCACTGAGTATTAGTAGTCAATCATGATGGGTGTGATCTTTTCGTTTTTGTATCCTGCTTTGGGTCTTTCTGTTGTTCAGTTACAGTGCCTTACTGTCATTGGTTTGAGTCTGAGAGCAGCCATTTTGTGCAAGATAATGCTGAATTTAGGTCTGCATCCAGCAAACCCCTCAAAGATCCTGGATAAGTGGGAGTCTGGTACAAATTGGATAATGGCCCATTTTAATTTCTAATAAGTTTGATGATCAAGTAATATCCAAAGTGGTTGATTAATCACTGTTGGTTTTATTTATTGACAGGAAGCCAAAGATTGAAGATGTTGCAGGAGTTAAGAGCTAGGTGGGTGAAGCGAAGACGTGCAAGTAAGGTAGTTCTTAAACAATGCATACAAAATTAAAGTGAAGCAACATTTTCTATATGACAACCAGATCAACCATGCTTCCTAGAACATTGGACAACTAAGAAGCAGCACATCCATAAGGTAATAATAATAGAAACAAGATGTTAAAAAAGACAAGTTGTAAGACAATTATGGATGAAAAAAGAAATGAATGCACTAGTCAAAAGTAGGTATTTTCATAGTTATCAGAACCCAATTCTAGTCAAGGTATCTCTCTTCTCTCAATCTAAGGTCTGAATAATAATATCTACCTGTCCAGTGAGGCTCATCAAATCCCCCATAAAAGAAATTTAGTATGTAACCAACTTAGGAGTTCAATTCAAATCATCCCTAGACATCATCTAGGCCCTTGAAACCCTTTGTAAAGCTTTAGCCAAGAAGTCGACTATTTGCCTATTTGGCCTCCTGATAGAAAAAAGATTGCACATTTATATGTTTTTGAGCTATATGACATGGATTTAATGATGGCAAATTGGACCTGGTCATTACTCATTAGATTCCCCAATGTCAAAAACCCTAGGGTAGAAAAAGCACCCCCTTGGTAAACTGGTAACCCACCAAAATGATCTCAATCTAGACCTCAGAAGATTCCTACTTGGATGGACCAAAATGACTCAATTTGGTCACTAAGTCCAAATTTGTGAACAAGATCAAACTAGCTTTCTACATACACTAAAACCCTAGCCATTGATAAGGAATAGTCTTTTAATTTCTATCACAAAAATCAGTTAACCTAGACTTCCTCTACTCTTACAAATACCTCTTTTGGAATTTGAGCCAAAGGACACATAAATATCCCTCCAAAATCCAAACTCTTTCATTTCTATGCTAACCCCAAGTGTCAAGAAAATTTCAAAGAGAAACAAAAGAAATGGAAAAGAGAAAAGAAATAGAAAAAAAGTCATCATTAAAGCTTCAAGGAATAATTGTCAAACTATGCAATTCATGCAAATAATTCAGCATTCAAATCTCTTTGTTGGCACCAAAATTTCGCCATAAGAACTTGATGTAGGCACATACGGCAGGGTCCTGGATGGTGCCACGTGGCATCAGCTGGATGAGATCCTGGCTGTCCACCTCCAACTGCCTCCAACCACTCCATGGCAAGGTCAAGTATAAAAGGGGTGCCCAGCTTCAAGATAAAACCATCTAGTCCACTCTTGCTCTCTAGCTTTCCTTCTCTCGAGTGACCTTGTCTGAGCCCTTGTCTCAAGCCTGGTCCGACCCCTCTCAAGCACTTGACTAACCTGACTGTCGGAGTCTCCACCCCTGGGATAACACCCGGGACCTCTGACATGTGCTCTCTCCTTGCTCTCAGGTTGGACACATCGGCCTCGGCCAGAAGCGAAGTTACCTTGTTGCCCTGGCCCCATCCTAGGCAGCAACAGAACTCAAATTCCTACCATACATTCAAGGTAAAGCCTCCCCCAATGTTATTTTTTTCACATTTTTTATAAGCTCACTTTAATTTGATATTCTTCATGTTTTGGTAGTATGTTTCTTATTTCTTCTTTGTTCTCTTGGTTGCATGCATGAATGCCCTCCCAAAACAAGGTTAAGAATCTTCTTAGTAAGCTTTGTTGGTTAAAATGGTGCAGAGGATAGGAAACCTAGATACTCTACCACTCTTTCTAAACATTTCACTGAAAATGAAGAAACCAAGCTTAGTTTTGTATTTTCCTTTGTTTTGTTTTCTTTTTTTTTTTTGTTGAATGATCTTTTGGGTGAAATTCTAATGGTTAGAGTCTACTGACCGTTATTTTTTTTCAGGTGACAAGCAATTCATCTTTGTAATGAGAATCATGAGAAGGGGATGATGCAACCACACCATACAAAAGATTGGCTAAGCATGTACTGAGCCCCGTATATAAAAAAAGCAACCAAGTCGTCCTTCCCTAAAATAAATGGTCTCTATTTACCCCTCGCTTGGACGGTATATCAGTCAAAGTTTTTGCTCATCTTTGTATCCAAGCATAAGCAACTTCCATCCCTCTTGTGAACACCCTTATCTCTTTAAATGTGTTTCTGTAGTGCCAAATTTTCAAGAACAAGAGCAGCTGTATTGATTCTGTTTTTCAGAAGATTTTGGGAAAATGTTTTCTTGGTTAGCCACACATAAGTTGTTTAGAAACAGAAGTTATAACTCCTTTTTTCTACACGACAATATTTTTTAAAAATAGAGTTTGAGGGTATAGTGCTGCAGAGACAGCTTTTTGTATATTCCCTGTGTACAACATCTTGTTGTATACCATCTTTCAAAAAACAGATACAATAATATGCAAATATTAATTAAAATAATATTTCAAAAAGTGCATTAGCTCAATTGACATTGTTATTAATACGAAGGTTATAGACTTGTATATTCAAGTCCTACATAAGCTAAATTGTCTAAACTCAACTCTAAACATCACATGTAGAATCTGCTTTATAGCAATGTTGCATCGACTCTCCTAAATGAACACAACACATCCATGTTGGACACACATCAGAGTCCGACCCTCCACAGATTCTTGTGGACATGTCTATGTAA